AAGGGCAAGTGACGCCGGTGCGAATGATATGCCGGTGTGTAATGCATGCCGTACTACGCACTTGCAAGTGATGCCGGTGAGAACGATGAGCCGGAGCAAGTGCCAGGGATTGCCTTGTAGTCTGCGGTGAGTCGAGAAGAAGGCAAGTAATCTGCGAGAGTGCCGTGAAGCAGAGGCGAGCAGTAAGGCTCAGAGCCGTGCCGAACACTGTAGCGCAGAGAGTAGCTTGAAGGAACAGGAAGCATTATTATTCCAGTGCTGCGATGAACCTTTTGTAAAGCTAGATGGCTTGTAGAATGTGAAGACTGCAGACAATGTCTGCTCGGGAGCGAATGAATGGGGTACTTGAGTAAGATGACGAAGTTTTTTGAAATTGCAGTTTCCGAATATTGTTGGTTGCGTATTCATATCACGTCGGGGTCACCACTGTGGCGGTGGAAGGAAAAGGGGAGATCTCCCGCCGGGCAAGGTGTTCTGCCCGGGGAGCGGCCAACGCTCCGATTGGTAGTTCGGAGCTATTCTATATATGCTGCTTTAATTTCAGAACTTTGATAGCGCGATTTAGGCTTCGATGTGTTTCGCTTGTGGCGCGACGACAGCGCGGCCACATTCCCATATTTATTTAATATATACTCACATTTGCGAATAAAAAGATTTAATTGGTACTTATCACCGTTGAATATCGGTACAATTTTGAGCATTTCATTAGGAATCATCTTAATTTGCACTTGATCTTCCATTTTGTAGATCTTTATTTTATAAAATACGACGATAAAATAATATAATTAATACAAGAATTCAAATTCACAATCAAAAACACAGTCAAAATAAAAGTAAAATAATTAATAAGTAAAATACAAAATATGTAATAAATAAGTCCTCAATAAAAATTTAATCAACGAACATACACTACAATTATAATTTGTAATAGTTATAATCGCTTTGTTCCCACAGTGCAAGCTCTTATCGCGTCGTTATTGCATGGACGCGCTTACTTATCTAGTCATTCCTAATATTTCTTTATGCAGTTAGCTATTAAGTTTAAGTATTCTTAAATATAAGTTTCACAGATTTTTATGTAAAACCAGATAACGTTATATCGCAAGAGGTCTAATTGCAAAATAACTAAACTATATAATATGACAAGGAAAGGAAGGTGAAAATTTGGACTCACCAGCCGGCCTTCGTCATCTTCAGCTGCTCACCACTTGACAAATTTATATTGGTTCGCAGAATTTATTATACGGACGGCGCAAGCAAATGGCGATCCTACCGGCTGCGCCAGTCAAGTTAACGGGAGTGGTAGAGGCGTTTTTTAAAAACTAAAATAAAACTAAGAGATGTCCGTACAGAAGCTCATGTACTTCAACAATGGCCAACTTATTCTAATACATCTTTCATGCAGACGTTATTACATTTGCTTACTCAAGTGACGCGATATAGGCCACACACAGGGTGTAAAGTCAGCAATAGCATTTATGCACGTACTTGTATCACTCTGTTTGGGGTCGAATCCATGACTAGTTGCTTTAGTGTTCTCAACAAATCAGTCGGGACACTCTGCTCCTTTGTTTACTGTGCACCGTTCCGTATTCAATTGATGTGGCTCTCGTACTAACGACTTTTGGCTTCGCTTTTTGGACTGGTGATCTGCAAACTGAACTGACCTGGCATTATTTTGGACTGTGATTGTGTGTTTTGTGAATTGGACTATTGGCGTATTTTGGACTGTTTAGCTTTTATCATGCCGCTACCGTACACACCGTTGGAATTCGCTAATATGCATCTCATTTATGGAGAATGCCGACGCAATGCTAACGCTGCTAGCAGATTGTATCGAGAAAGGTACCCCAAATGCTCAAAGATACCCTGATTATCGAGTATTTATTAATGTCCATTAAGCGTTTGCGGTGGGTCGTTTACCATCTGCCAGGAGAAACGCTGGAAGACCTAGATTGGGATGCGATGAAGAAGTTCTCAAAGAAATAGAAAACGGTATTCGACTACCTCGGTACGTGCCATAGAACTAGCTACGAGAATCCCAAAAAGTTCTGCGCATCGAATTCTCAATCGTTACAGGCTTCACCCATACCACTACAGGCGTGTGCAGACGTTATTACCGCGGGACTATCCACTACGGGTCGCATTTTGCCGTATGATGCTGCTAAAGCACAGGGAAGATCCCCAATTCTTAGATAAAGTTCTATGGTCGGATGAAACAACCTGCAAGAAAAATGGCTATTTAAATCTTCACAACTTACGAGTACATAGTTGGAGCAATGAAAATCCGCACCTGATGAGACAAGACAAATCCCAATATCAATTCAAGCTTAACTTATGGACGGGCATATTAAATGGAAAAGTAATTGGGCCCTTTGAGTTACAAGGAAACTTACATGGAAATAGTTATTTCAACTTTTTACAAAACGACTTGCCAGAATTATTAGAAGACGTGCCTTTGCGTGACTTACAAAACATGTGGTTTCAAAATGATGGTTGCCCAGCTCACTATGCCCGTCTTGTGCGAGAATATTTAAGCCAAGAGTACCCAGGACTTGGTCCTATCTTATGGCCACCCCGTTTACCCGACCTAAACCCCCGGACTTCTTCTACTGGGGTTGTCTCAAAGACAGGGTTTACTCAAAACCCATTTCAACATTGGATGAGCATCGCCAAAATATCACTCAGGCTACGGATCATATTAATGGTAGAAGATATGCACGAGGAATAAAAAGATCTTTTTTAAGGCGATGCCATGCCTGTATTAATGCCGGTGGCCAACAATTCGGACATTTACTGTAATATTAATAATGCAAAAAAATAAAATAAATGTAAATATTTGTACCCTTTGTTTTGATTCATGCAACATTTTTCAGCAAAAATCCTGTGCCACACAGAAGTTTTTCTAGAGTATTATACCATTTTAGAATCTTGGTTAGTTGCGTAAATTTTTAAAAAAACTTGCCATAGTAGTGTCAGTACTTTTTTTACACCACGATGAGTGAAAGTGGACTGAAAGTAAAAATCTTTCAAAATTTTAGGGGAAAAATAATTTTGATTGATTTTTGTGTAAAAACTACATGTATTCTGGTATTTATAAGGGTTGTGGTAGATAGCAGTACTACTAAGGTTGCCGATACAAAAAAAAAATACAAAAAAAATCAAAAATGTGCTCATGGTAGTTAAAAATACCATATCGGGGTATCGATTTTCGAAGAATTTAATTTTTTTTGTAATTTCAAAAACGATTTAGATTTTTTTTCTTTTTATTTTTTCTCGAGTAGTCATGAGCACGTCCACCTTCTGGTGTCAGTTTATCGTTGAATTTTGGGACACGTTGTATATACATGAAGATGAATAGTTTTATAAAAATATATTCTTTAAATACTTACGAATTAAAAAGTTCCTAACTAACTGGCTTATAAAATTAAATTATAATTTTGTAAGAAATAGAGGCTTTGTTCGATGAAATCTCTTAAAAATGCACTCCAAAAATAATAACAAATACACACACAAACACACACGCGCGCGAGTAACGTAACTATTTTTTGTTATTATTTAAATTTAAGTTTTGTAAGTAAGACTATTTTAGATATTATTTAAAGTTTGAATCTTTTAAAATGGAAGAGCGGGGCATCCTGGCACAGGTATATTTACTAAAAAGGACATCCTTCCATCCAACAACAGATTAATGTATCTATTTTACCAAATCATGTAATAATAATAAATAATAAAAAAATAAAAAAAAGTAATAAAACTTTTCTTCGAAAATAGTATACATGACAGTAACATATAACAAAAAAATGGTGAAAAGCACCTCCCATCCTCCTTCAATTGCGTGCACTATCCCCGTCACCACCAATCTCAGCACCACCACCCCCGGCACCACCACTCCCAGCACCAAATTTCCCAAAACCACCACACTAGAAACTACACACCACTCTTGATAATACGACACGTGTATCGCCTCTACACGACGCATCCTCAGGTGAAGTAGAATCTGCGGAGGCTGACCACTACTTAGCGGAGGTGGTGACGGGGATAATGCACGCAATTGAGGGAAGGTGGGAAGTGCTCTTCAAACTAGACAGAATTCATCGTTTTATTTCTTTAAGCGGAATTAAACAAATTAAGTTACCATAAAATATAAATATGAAGTTTTATACATGGTAGAGCCATGTTGCAGCTATATTGTGGTTGCAGCACGAATGGGTCGGCTCGACCGGCGTAGGACCACGCTCTCACAGAATACCAGCTTAATGCTGCTGTTTCGTATGGTGATTGTAGAGAACCGGTGACCCTTTTTACTGGAAACGAGGCATTCCATCTTATTCTTCAGGGGTGACGACACATTTGTATTTTGATTCTTAATTGAGGATAAATGTAGAAAACTATGGGCCACAGCATCCATTTACCATCAGGTGGACTGTGTACTCATTTGTCACCCATATTTTATAAAACAAAAACAACTGCATTTGTGACTTTCTTTGTTTGAGTTGTTACGCTAGCTTGCTTGTCTCTCCAATATTATATACTCGTAAAATATTTATTTATGTCAATACGAAATGGGCCAGATAAAGCCGACACAAAGAGTAGAGGAAGCCTCAACACTGCTTAAGAATGTTGTTATTGTTTTCCAATAAAAATAAAATCTGATTATTCGGAAGCATGTTGTATTAAATAATAATTTACTATGTAATTACTTTACACTTAAAATTTTTGTCACTCGGTGAAACGTTATCTTTATTTGTGGTATTCGCATTGATACATACTTGTCACACTCATATTCTAATGTATTCACTATAAAACCGACCGGTTTAGCCTTAAGGTATCATCAGGATTTGTATACCTGAAAGTGAACAAAATACAAGTGTCGATCCAAATCACAAACAATAACCTACTTTTAAGGTGTCCTTACACCAGTAGGTAAATCTGACTTTGACTACTGCACTCCAAATAATATAACATTAAAAGCATATAAATTAAATGTTTATTTACAGTTACAAATCCTTGCCCACATGGTTGCGAAGGTATACTTCAGCATATGAATATATAAGAATATTAGAGAGCAGTATACAGGAATTAAAAAGAACAAAAACAGAAAGTCATAATAAGCTCGCCCTAGACATTCTTAGCATGTTGATATCACAGTCTGCATTTAGACAGCACAAAAAGGCTGAGTGGTATGCAGAAAAGGCATTGATTTTACACAAGCGCATGAATTCCTATAATGAGGTATGATTATTTTAGCTGATCCCTTGATTGTTAGTGTTTGAGTGAGAGAGTATAAGGTCTCTATCCGAAGTACAGTGCTTCAATAGCAGCCAAAACGTGCCAAAACGTTTTTACGTGGTAGAGCCACACTGCAGCTATTATTCTTTGTAGCGTGAATCGGTCGGCTCGACCGGGGTAGGACCACGCTCTCACAGAATACCAGCGACCCACCAATAGCAGCTTAGCTATGGTGAGTGTCTCTACACTCACCATAGCTAAGCTAAGCTAAGGTTCTCTAACCGAAGACCCTTTTTACTGGAAAAGAGGTATTCCAAAAGACCATTCCATCTCAGTCCTCAGGGGTGACAACGTATCTGTGATTCTTAATTGAGGATAACTGTATATGTCTGTGGTTCACAGCGTCTACTTACCATCAGGTGGACTATGTGCTCGTTTGTCACCCTTATTCTATATTTATAAAAAAGTAATTTTTTTATCACATTATTTATTCATTTTAAAGGTTTGAAGAGGGGACTCTAGATCTTATTGTTGCCTGTGTAAGTTTCTATCATCAGCCTATGGCAATCTGCTGCGAAACTAGGTCTCAAACAAGGGCATCAAATACCTACCAGCAGCAGATTAGCGTGAAACAACTTCTATGCCCTAATAATTCCTATTTGGAAAATTGAAAATGATACATTTTTAGCTATTTCTTACCTCCATTCTCATTTATGTTATTTCTGATTTCATTTCAGGCCGCTGAGATATTAATAGAAGGATTCAAATCTGATATGTCTGAAGAAACCAAAGATGCTATGCGCCCTCGCGCGCTTGTAATAGCGACACTGAAAACGACAAGTAATGAAACTGCTCAGCATCTTAGGGACGAGCTACTACTACATGCAACCAAAGACCCAATACCAGAGAAAAATTTCAAAGCTAAGCACATTTATAAGCAACCCATGGAGTAAGTCACATTTCTTAATTTGACTGACTAGTGGTGGTGTAAGAATATCCACTACCCTATACCGTCCCGCGGGTGTCGTAAAAGGCGACAGAGGGGAAAAAACCAAGATATGGGCAGCAGTGTGGTAACTATATCCCCCCAATTAGGGGCCATGTATGGGGGCGGCCTGTGTTCAACAGTGGACTTACTTTTGATAGGATGTAACGGTAAAGGTAACATTTGTAAATTAAAGAAAAAGCTTGTAGGAAAACGAAATAATCTCAAAGAGAAGTAGTAAGTAGTCTTAAAATATCGTCATTTGCTGGTTTTTAATTTTACCATATTTTGACAGTATGTTCATAAATTATTTTTTCATATGGCAACAAATCCTTTACAAAGCTATTATTAACGGTATTGCGTTTTGGGATGAATCTGTAAGTTGCGTCTGATCACTGCATCTAGTTGTTCTAATTAATTCTAAAGATATCGTACGATAAAATTTTATTTACACCCTTGCATACATATATGCACACACGGTCGGACGTTCAGCCTTGAATAGTCGGAACGGACATCAAAACGTGGATATCTGATGAAATGATTTCCACCGGCAAGCCATCCCCACCTGAGTTTCACAATCGCACACTAATTACATGGAATGCAGACCTTGTCCTCCTAGTTTATTAACTTTGTCACGTTGACAACATAATTAAATAAAGATAATAAATATTAGTAGTAATAAAATACACTTTCCCTATCTGATGGCGAATTAATAAACTTGTTCTGTGGCCAGTAGCCGTGCTAACTATGAAATCGGTGATGGTGCCATACCCTTACATCAGTCGCTATGGTCTGATAGGTAGTGGGTAGTGGCGCTTACGGTGAGCTTTTGTTTTATCCAATTTGTAACGTCTAAGAGGGGGGGTGACGTACATTCACTAACTGGATTTTATCGAATAATTGTGAGGCGTTTTGCACACATTTGCGACTTCGAGATATTTGTGTTAATTTGACGTTTCTTTTTTTAACGCCCCGTTACACTACAGAACTGTCCTTTTAAATATATTCTTTTACTAATTTAAGAGCGAAATTCGGAAAAACTTTAAATTTTATAACTTGCCATCATGTACATAAAATAGTTTTGAAAAGTTGTTGTGTAAAACTTCTGTGATAGACACTGAAGCACTGAGGTGATTTCTTATGCATTCCATTTAGCGGATTTTATGAGGAAGATTAAAAATTACTTTTGAAAAAAGAAAAACTGCTATACACAGGCCACCTCTTATTGCTAAAAAGGCATTTAAAGACATGGAAATGCCTACTGCGATGACCAAATGCGTGTTGGCGGACTTCACGTGTCTTTGAAATATTTTTTTAATTGCTCAGCTATGCCGGTTTCCTCTCAACTCTTATAGTACATGTAAACCCAGTACCACGTCCTGTGCCTGGAAGCAGCGTTATAATTGCAAGAAGTCTGGAACTGCGATCGGTCAATTCACTTGTCAAACGTGGCGATTACGACAAATACAAGGAGTCTTGCAATGAAATTCAAAACTAGACTATTTATTGGCTGATAAAAATAACGGGGAACGGGTAGAATATTCTAGATCGATTTGGTTTATCCCAACTTTTTAACATGACAGTAAACACATTTTAATCTGACAGGATAATGTTGCTGCTGTGACCTAAACGTGTTTTGAAGTCCCGCGGAAAATATGCGTGCTAAAATGTAAAGTATGGGATTTGACAGAAAATGTCAAATTTCGCGAAGACTGGCGGGGCGGCTAAGGGACTTCTTTCGTGAAAAAGAGAAGTTTTAAACCGGAGACTGTTAATAAACCACGTTTTGTATGAAATAAGACGAATAGTGTTTCGTACCAAACTCTTAGCGAACGATAAATTATGCACAAAAAAGGAGCGAAACGTCATCATTGTGATTATTTAAAAGCTTTTTACAAACCTTTGAAAAATTGCTACATCTTACACATGTAGTAATTTCACACGCTCAAAAAATTTTCAGGAATTTTTACAACAGAGGCAAAATCAAATTTGAAACATTCACCGCCATAGGAGAACGGGTAGTGGAGGAAGCGGAGGAGTACTGTATTACGCAGTACATTAACAGCGGACAGTACACAAATGGTATCAGCTTTATATATTTTATTTTAGCTAAACTGATAAAACAGCGCATACCGATCTGGTAGCTTATTGTACATTTTTATAACCATATACCACACTTAACTCCTACTAACAGTCGGTCATCGAAGGCGTCTAGACGGGGTAATCGTGCGGGGCGATACGCGGGCTGAGCCGCTTAGCCGCTCGGGAGCTGTCCGCTAGGGTTGTCCTGTCACACAAATAAATTAATATAGTTCACACTACATGTGCGGTAAAAAACTGTGGGTCGCCCTCATTTAAAGATAAGGAATTAGTTTCATCAGTTTCCACATACACATTAAACGTGAAATAAAATAAAATCAGTTTTTTTTTATATTTTTTTATTGCTTCCCGTTCTGACAATCCTAGCAAATTATTGTTTATCGGCTTTTCCGATAACATGACTACTGTATGTTCCTCTTAGGCTGTGTATATACTATACAAAATTATTTTTTGCCCATTGGAAGTTGCTGTTGCTAACGAACGTCTCCAAGTCATCATCATCATAATAATAATATCATCATCATTATCGCCATCATCATTACAGCCTATCAAATTCCACTGCTGAATGTAGCCATCCTCAAATATTGCTCATGCATATAAGAGGGATACTTACCATAGTTACTACGCTTGGCGGGCGGATTGGCTATCGCTCTTTTTATTTTCTAGTTACTATTAAGAAGATGCTGCTGTCCATCTCCGGTTTGTTTCCCTCTCTCGCCTCATACGACACCCACGGGACGTTAAGGGCTATTGGATATTCTTACACTACCACTACACAATATCGCTAACCGCTTGTCAAGCGTGAAAATTAAGACAAAGTATTATTCAAGTATTAAGGAATACATTTTATATCATGCCATAACTATGTTTTTAATGCAAAAATTAATAGTTTAATATCAAATTATTATAATTTCTTGTGTAATTTCAGGTGGCCATTGGGAAGGCAGGATTATAACAACAATTTTCTTTCTTCTTTTCTGGGACATAATATATATGAGACTTCCAGGCATCCGTGGCATTTTCCTCACGTACTATCAGATATTTCCACTAGACTTGTTTACCGAAAGCTTTTATGTCAATAGAAAAACATTAATAGACGAGAGATTGGCAATGATACGGAATTCTCAAAAGGATAATCTCTTGAAGAAAATGCAAGAGACCTGGGACAGCCGACCAGAGTGTGAGACATTACCTTAATTCTCTAATATAGTTCAAAACACAAGACCTACCACCATAAGTTTAGGTTTAGCATATTTTGACTCGTGTCTGGTTCCAATGTTCATGAAACTCCATTGTCTGTTATTATGTTATATTACGTACGCTGTGCATCTTTAAATAGTTTATTTTGTAACCTATTCGTTTGGCAACTAACGACAATTTAAACACTTAGTCTTTATAAACTGTTAGCTCGCAGTGAACGATTATATGTTTAATGACTTAATTTTTAATAACATCCCAATCAATTAAATTCTTTTTAATTTTTATTTTGCAGCGGAGCTATCAGGAATAAACCGCAATATTGGCTGGGACAATGTCAGTGCTGTTTGCTCTTGTCTAAGTCCGCGCGCAATAGCAGCTATTTGTCAACGGCTGGCTCTTGACTATCGTTATACCCATAGTGGCTTTCCTGATCTCACACTGTGGAACGTACACACCAAGCAGGTAACATTTTAAAATGTCAATATAATGTTTAATGGCTAACTATGTTGTCGTTATGTTTGTTTGTTTTTCTTCATTCATCAACTAGGTGCCTACATTATATTACAATGTCAGTTTCCCTTGGCTTTTTTATTTTCTTAAAACATTGTTAATACAGTAGCGTTTTAGAGCCTTGTCTATATTTTATTACTCGTCCCCAACCAAAATATATATGATTTTTTCCAGAAAGAAAAGACCATTTTTAAATAAAAATATTTTGAATTTAGCTTTAACTTTGAACATGGGTAATGGTATAGTAGTAAGAAGTCTTGACAAAGTCAGCGGAAAAGTGTGAAGAAAGAAAATACAATGTTTTTTACTGAATCGCCTAATAATTGGCAGGAATTTGTATCTCCATTTTCTTTTCTAGCATGTAGTAAAGTCAGAAACGACTGTGACTGTGACTGCGGTCGTTGGTGTAGTTGATATGTTAATTCAATTTTATTTACATAACATTAATTTTCCGTTTACATAAGAACACCTGTGTTCCAGTATGAAGCATAAGAGAGTCAATGTAATTACAGGCTTTAAAATGTGTTGCCTTGTCCACCCCAATAAAAACACAACTGGAGTCTTCTTCGTAAATAAATAAATAAATAAAAATATTGTTACGAGCTTGGGATTCGAGACAATTAAAAACTGCCGAGTGAATTACCAAAATCGACACTTTAATTACAAAACACTAATTACAATTTAAAACCACACTAATAATAAAACACAATTGTACTACTGATGACTACTGACTGACTAAAGTGTTAGTTCGCAATTGTATAGCTTCGAAGTATTCGCTTGTATCGCCAATTCCACACTGTCTCGGTCGTGGTCTATACCAGCCTTATATAGGGCCTGAGATAGTTTGCAGAATGTTCTACTGTAGAAACATCTAGAATGTTGGTGTACATATCGGTCCCGATATTTCTAGAAGTATATTGACTCTCCTAGTTCTGCTACTCGATACTAGAGAGCGCTAGTGGTAACTAGTGTTGCCATGTACAATACTTTAATAGTGGCGCGCAACAATATGAAGAACTAGTTTTTCAGGTTGTGAGGCATTTAATTTTTGTTCTCAAGGTGCTTCTGAAGGCGCTCACTGTCTGGTAGATTGTTAACTCGTTTGTCGCTCTAATACATAGAGCAACACGCGCCACCGGCGGACCGGAGGGGAGTAGCTATAGCGTTTTTTCCCGATACAAAACTGCGTTATTTTTTGCGGAGGGATATCTGCGGACACAAAAACAATCGTTTGTTACTGCGAAAGTCACACATAACAATTAAAATAATAAACTAATAATTCACACACACACATACATTATATCAGTAATCGCTCGGTGACAGCTATAATTCGGATACAGACACGTATTAGTCGCTCGACCGATCTGCATATTGTATGAGGGCGAACGGCATGTGTTAGTAAACAAATCCTAAACAACACGACCATTATTATTGTAATTTTTAAGTTTAAAAAGAAGTAAATAGCAATTATGTGATTAAATATTACTTATAAAAGGTACGCCATCTTTTTGTAAATTTGACGTGATAGATTTTTTTTATAGGATAAGAATGACAAACGAGCACACAGTCCACCTGACGGTAAGTGATTGCTGTGGCCCATAGACATCTACATTTATCCTCGATTATGAATCAAAATGTAGATGCGTTGTCACCCGTGAGGACTAAGATGGAATGCCTCGTTTCCAGTAAAAAGGGTCTCCGGTTCTCTACACTCACCATACGAAACAGCAGCATTAAGCTGCTATTTTACGCTGGTATTCTGTGAGAGCGTGAAGCTGTGGAGGTGGCATTCGTGTTACAACTATACCAGAAATATAGCTGCAGCATGGCTCTACCACGTAAAAAATCTCTTTTTGCAGCAATAAACTAAAAATATCTGGTATTTTTGTAGGACGAAGATTCGTCCGCGTAATAAGATTTAGTCTAGTGAGCAGTGCGGCTGCAACTAGTTTTATTGTGGACTTATACTTTGACAGACGGGAAGTGACCGAAGGGGAGTGGCCACACGCAGGTGTGTGGCCACTCCCCTTCGGTCCGCCGTTGGGCCGTGTTGCTTTATGCTCTAATGTGATATAAAATATCATAATTCATCCAGGCATGGATTACACTAAAATAATGCATGTAAATGGATGCCGTACTAACAATGATACGAGTGAAAACTGTTTTGCATTTCCAGATTAAATTCGTCGAGGTGAAAACTGATTCGGACAAGCCCTCGATAAAGCAAAGACAATGGCTTCATTACTTGCGAGGCTGTGGTGTCGAAGTGGAATTTTGCTACGTCGGCGTTAACACCATGCGGTGTAGGGCCAGAGCAGGAGATAGCGACGACTAAATACATACTGCTCTGCATGGTCAACGTTACCGCATGGTCGAAAAGACAAGCTTTTTAAAATGTTCTCTCGACATCATTCTCGTTCACATAAAACATGTAATAAAAAATAAGGACTGTCTCAGATTGAACTAAAGCAGGGTTTGCAAAGTTATACGACTAAGGCTCCGTGCCGCATTGGCCGCGGGTGCGAATCCCGCACGGAACAAGCATTTGTATGGCTTACAAAGAAATGTTCCGGGTCTGGATGTTTGTCATGAAATGTATGTATGTAAACAGCACCCACGATACAGGAGAAAATCCAAGAGTAAAGGTAATGTTTTTAAGAAAAAAAAAAGTATGCCACCTATAAAAATATTCCCTACCGCATTATACTTACTTACATAAGTATTGTTTATTTTTAAATAGTTAAGTGGCAGGACAAGCAGCTGGCCTACCTGATATTAAGCTACACCCAAAATTTGTCGCAAATTTTTTGCTCTATAATTTTTATACTAGATCTTAACATCATTGGAGCTACAAAAACCGAGATAATCGCTAAAAACTCTTTTTTTAACTTTGACCTTGATAACTTACGATGCAGACACCCAATTTTATAAATTTTTGAGACAACTTTTAGGACAGCTAAATGAAGGTATATACGAAAATACAGCTTATTATCTCTCATTCGAGGCTGATCGCTAATTTGACTGAACTATAATGCGAGTTCACTACTGGTTGCCAGGCAAATATGACTTGAGTAGTACTTTGTAAGTTTAATTATATACATACTTAGAATCACGTTTCGTTGGAAATGTCTAATCAAGGTTATTTCGAATTTTTATATATTACTACTCGCCACGGATCTTTGTGTCTGTGAAGTTAGCTTCGGATTGGCGTTGCGTTTAAAAATATGAAATACACAAACTTACTTTTTAAACGATGTCATCAAATCTTTAACTAATCGAAACAACCTGAAAAAAAAACAATTCACAATAATTTATTATGCAAGAATGACTCGACTGTAATGAGGTACCTTTTGCGTAATCATCACTGGAAAGTGGTCATTGAAGCAAAATGAAGAGGATATATAAATATTAAATATACATGAGAGCCGTTCCTTAGCGTCGTCGTTGCTAAGTAACAACGGCGTTAAGGCACTTTGCACATCCTCGGCTTACGTCTGTTAACGGAAGCACAAAGATCCGTGGAGAATAGTTTAATTTAATTTAATATATAAATAAAAATATTTTTAAACGTTTATAAACTAATCTAAAAATTGATACTGTTTTTATGTAAATATGATTTTAAAGAAATATAACATTAACACTATTCTTCTTCTTTTCTTTTTATATTATACTAGCTGGCCAGGCAGACGTTGTTCAGCCCTTTCCGAAGACCCTTCCTATAAAAAATTCTTAAATTTGCAATAAAAAATATTAAGAATCTATAATCTAATCTATCTTTCAAGTTGGACCAAACTGCACACAGTTGGAAAAATTTCATTGAAATCAGTTTAGTAGTTTAGGAGTTCATCGCGGACAAACTAAGCGCTAAGCGCTTGTCTTAAATTTCGTAGTATGTGAACAACAGTTTAAAAACTGGAATTGTTTTTATGCTGTATGTTAAGTGCCGTTTTACTTCATTCTCGGCGACAAACGAAAACATAGTGAACGTATGTCTGCGAAATACGGACGGTTACGGACGGATACGGTTTTGTTCGCACACAATATATTAAGTCCACTAGCAAACGTTGGGGTATCTCTATATTTTTTGATTATTTTTCACAAACAGGAAGTCTGTCTTCAGCAGGGGAATGTCTAGGTACTGTTACTTCTTCACTTTTTATTATTTGTCTACTGCTGTCTATCGGTCGAACCTTTTAGAATGAGGTGTATGTAATATTCAAGAACTTATAGCATAACTCATAGGCCTACATGCCGTTGTTACTGGACGTGGACCTGGGTTTGCCGCCTAATTTTAAGTTTATTGTTTTAATTGGGGACTAAAGTATGAAATAGCCGTTATGTATTAAAAAATTCAAACACTTTTTTCCAAGAAATGTTATTTTTTTTTAGAAGTACGTACTTACCCATTATCTATGCATTTCTGCCATCTTACGGGGAAGATTATTAATGATTTTGCGATAGTACTCTCGGGATATGGAGTGTGTGCAGGCATTTTGTACAGCTTCCCAAAAACTTTTTTTTCCTGGCTGGAAACTCCAATATTGAGAAAAAGATAATAATATCGGTTGGGGTAAAGGTCTGGCGAATACGGAGTTTGACTATGATTATAACTGCAGTCTTGTAGGATCGCGAGCAGTGTGGGAATCCTTGCGTTATCATAGAGCAATCATGTCGAAGATTGATTAACCACTCGCGATTGCTTTTCTGAGAGTTTTGCCATCATTGTTCGAAGTTCGTCACAAGACATGAATCAGCTTCATCGCGTGCACATTAGTTAATGTAATTAGGCAACCAATTTTCAAATTTGATTACTTTACCAATTTTAGAATTTTCCGGCAATTAGATTTATCACTAATATTTAATCATCATCATCATCAGCCTGCGGCAATCCACTGCTGGACATAAGCCTAACCCAAGGCGCTTCACTTAGCCCAGTCTTCGGCTACACGCAAATAGAATAATAACAATTCGACATATTCAATGGGCGTATACAAGGAATCATCCAAATGAATGATAATCGGTTATTTCCAGTACACATAAAAATCTAAAAAAAAAATGTTTGCTTGCTTATGTACCCACTAGATCAGCATAAAAAATCATAAATAGAGTACGATTTCCGATTTTTTTAAAGACATACACTTGGTGGAAACATCGCGAAGGACGTTCATCCACATCCCTTACTATAGATAACGTGAAAAAATTCGAAGATGGCGTATTTACAGATCGAAGAGTGACCATCAGGCATTAGCTGAGGTCACAGGGATCTCATATGTTAGTGTTCAATGAATCCTAGTCAAAAAGGTATCTGTGAGTTGGGTACCGAGAATGGTAACCGACGAGCAAAAGAAAAAATGAGTTGACATTTCGAGGGTGAATCTCGAAAGGTTCCAAGCAGATCAGGAATTGTTTTGTCACGTTTCGTGACCATGGACGAGATCTTGATCCACCATTTTGATCCCGAAACCAAACAACAATGAATGGCTTGGAATCGAGCCTCCTCACCGACGCCGAAATTACAGCCTACATACGTCACACTGCTGGGCACAGGCCTCAAATCATTTCTGAGATGGTTTTAGTGCAAGGGTATGTCCGCCGCGCTGCCCCAATGCGTGTTGGCGAACTTCACATGTCTTCCAAATATTTTTTTCTTGTTTCTCAGACATGCAGGTTTCCTCACGATGTTTTCCTTCACCGCCAAGCACGTGGTAAATCAACACTAAAGCAATCAACAATTTCATTGGTGCCGGCGAGGATCGAACCCGGGTTGGCTCGCGTACTGTGAAACTAACAGCGGGCGCTAACCATCTGAGCTACTACGGCTCTAAAGTAACCTAACAAAAATGTTACGATAAGTATTTAGATTTCTTGAAAAAGGTTCCGACTTGGTCCGGGCTATCGAATTTCAAAAACCCCGCATCAACACCAATCCCCATAAAAACTTTTTTTACGTGGTAGAGCCATGCTGCAGCTATATTAGTAGTATAGTTGTAGCACGAATGGGTCGGCTCGACCGGGGAAGGACCACGCGCTCACAGAATACCAACGTAATACGTAATAGCAGCTTTACGCTGCTGTGTTTCGTATGGTGAGTGTAGAAAACCGGAGACCCTTTTTACTGGAAATGAGGCATTCCATCTTAGTCCTCACGGGTGACAACGCATCTGCATTACATTCTTAATAGAGGATAGATGTAGATGTCTATGGGCCGCAGCAACCACTTACCATCAGGTGGACTGTGTGCTCGTTTGTCACCCTTATCCTATAAAAAAAATCCCCAATCGACTTTAAATTCCCAACAATTCGAGGAATTCCCCACATGTTGGCAACGCTGACGCGAGGCGGCACGAGTCGGCCGGGCGGCGGAAGTGGCGGCGATTTCCACGCCCACCACGCTGAATGCGGGGAGATTTGTTTACAACTTTGCCTTTGCATATGGTCTGAGATAACTTCACCCACGCAGATTCCAAATGCGGGGATCATACACCTTCCCTGTTGGACCTTCTCCTGACCTCTCACCCGGACAGATATCAGATCTCCGTCTGTGCCCCTTCTGGCTCTTCGGATCACTGCCTGACCTGTAGGCTGTCACCGTGTGTGGCACTATAGGTCGGCTAAGTAGGATTAGATGCGGGCTTTTTTATAGAATAAAGGTAACAAACGAGCACACAGTCCACCTGATGGTAAGTGGATGCTGTGGCCCATAGACATCTATCTTCGATTAAGAATCAAAATGCAGATACGTTGTTACGCCTGAGGACGAAGATGGAGTGCATTTTATGCATCCTACCCATTTGGGCGGATTTGATTCTCGCTGGAAGACCCCAACATTGTTGCCGAGTTTGTTGCCGATGTGGCGTTTCAGGGGATGGAATTTTTCATACCTTTATCTGAAGTGCCTATCAGCGGTAGATCCCAGCCTTGGTTTGGTCACCCCTGCAAAATTGGCCGCGGAAAAAGCAGGTGTTACAAGGCCTGGGCCGACGCATCAGCGTCCCGGGATGCAAGCAGTAGCGCACTCCAAAAGAAGTAAAACTCTGTCTCCAGGTTCTTCTAAAGAGTTACCACTAGGGCAAAGTCTGAGCACTTTGAGAGAATTGGCGAGAAACTAGTTCGCCTTCCTTGAGGAACACGGCATCTATAAGCCATCATTACCATTTCTGGGCAGCGAGGATGAATCGCTGGCCCATGCCGCAAAGGATTTCTCCTCTTTCCGACCTTTTAGGTACTATTTTTGCTTCTAACTCGACTCTCTACAACAAGGGGAATCTCCCGAAAACCATCCTGAGGTTTGAATGCTCATAACAAAATGTTCGATTCACACAATACTCAGTGCGTAAAGCAGTCTTTGGACGTCCAAAAGCGGAGTGGGCCTGACGGAATCCCCCCAATTATGCTGAAGACGTGTGCTCCAGAGTTAGCACCTGTTCGTTCGCATCTTTTCCGGTTCTCTCACTTTTTAGGCGTCGTTCCAAGCTCATGGAAGACAGCCTTAGCGCACTCGAACCCTAAAAAAGGTTACCGCTCGGACCCGTCTAACTGCAGGCCTATCGCAATCACTTTCTTGTTCTCCAAAATAATGGAATCTGTTATCAACTTCCAGATCATGAGGTAACTTGAATAGCAGCAGCTGATTAGTGACCGTGACGTGCCTAGTTTACCTTTACGATGATCCGCCACTGAATACAGAGTTAGGTATATTAAAAAGAAACCGGTACAAATACTCCTAACAGGTGAGTACATTGAATTAATGCAAACCGCAAACGCCAATTCAGAGTTGCCGAGCCAGGCAAACTAGCGTCTATTTTTTTTTTCTTAGAGTAAGAAAAGCCAAAACTAGATGTTGCCCTGAGTCTGAGCCAAAATAATAATGTCCTCGAGACCGGATTTCGGTCACGGCCGTCAGTCTCAACGGAGACTAGCCATCGGCGCAGGATGGGATTATAGTGGCCAAGTGTATGCGCAAGCACAGGTGCACTCTCTATTCACTCACTCTCATAGTCCCGATGGGACGATAAACAGACACGACCGGCGAGAGATAAGGCGCAGAACCAACGGCTTTACGTGCTTTCCGAGGCTACTTCCCCGCCAACTTCCCAACTCTGGGCAGCTACTGAGAATTTCTTGGCGGAAAAAATAACTGATGTTTTTGGTCCGACCCGGGATTTGAACCCGGGACCTCATAATCAGCAATAGCACTACAACAACCACTGTTTAGGCCTAATCTAAAACATTCAAAAACGCTTGCCACGGCGCGTCATCCGATGGTATTGAGGTGACGTAAACGCCGCCGGGGGTGGGGGGGGCGTCCGTGTGCCGCTTCCCGACATTCGCCCGCGTGGGCCGGCAACAGTGTCTTGAACGCCGCGGACTTGTCGTCTAGTATTGTCTGCAACCGCTGAATTGGCTGCACGCGGCCGGTGTTGATTCAGACGGTCTAAATTTTGAGTTTAGTTGGGCGTGGCTGGTGTCCAGAATTGTGCGCGTCGTTTTGAATTTACTATTGAATATTTGGGTCTCGTTAAGACCGCCTCGAATGAAGTTGTCTGTTTTGAGCGTTACGTGACAGCGAGGCCTATCTTGAGTTTTGAATGATTAAATTAACTGATTGCCATTAATTTGCGCCGACGAGTTGTACTTTGTGTGGCCTTTAATATCGTACGAAGGAATTTTGCTTGTCGGGAGAACGCTAATAATTTGTTGCTAAGTGAACATGGAACGTTGAACTTTGATCGACCGTTCTTTAGTTGTGCCGTGTGTCACTTGTTTGATTTCGATTAACGTGGAATTAGTTAAATTTGAAGTTAATTAAATGTACAATAAAGTTGATAAACTAATATAGTGAAATAATAGCAGAAGTTTTCAATTGGTGAACGCCCACTGGAGGGATCGCACATTTGGAGAAAAGCAGCGCCTGTGGATCTGCTGTCCGACTACATCGGGGATGTCAGGTTACATTTATACACACTTTCGCACACTACTTACATACACCTCACTTACCACCTGACTGGTACCCTGTGGTCAACCCTACCTCCGGAACTCGGTAAGTTTTGTTTGATTGTCAGCCGTTTTAGAATAATTGTCCATAGGTCATTGGGCCCGAACCCTCTGTTGCTCGTCGAGGGGGCTACTATGGGCCCTAGCCCAGTCGACCTTTGTCGGGGCAACTGGGGGCCGTAACAACCACTAAACGGTCTAGACCAACGAGGCAGTAATATTACATTTTTTTGTAGCAAAATTATTTAACCTTTGTTAACTTTAAACAAGAGTGTCCAACAACTCTCTGAAAATGTTTCGACATATCGCAATTTTATCAGCCTCCACACTGCAGAATGGGACCTAATAGAAAAAAAAAACGGTCCCTGCAACCTTTTTACTATTTGAAGCAAGACATAACCTCAGGAGTTTTTCTAAAGTATTAACATTTTTCATTTTTGCGAGTCTTGTCGAAGTATTGGTATTGTTAACTGCTTCTCATTTTTGTACGAATTAGTGCTGGAAATTTTAAATCTCAGAAGTTATTGGTTGTCCTGGAATACAAAATGCTACATTCACTCGGTTTTACTGCATCAAAAAATGCAACAAATCTTGATAAAACAAATTATGAAATATATTTATTAAAATAAAATATATTAAGTACAATCGTTAAGATCTTGACTTTTTTATTATCATTATCACAAAAATCATATCAAATTAATGCCCTTCGGGTCAACTTAGGTCAAACTAGTCTACTATATAACTAAACTAAAGCCATAAACAAGTATTGTTAGTACATAAATTTTTGTACCTATTTTAATTGAAACTGCACGCGCCTCCCTTGTTTTCCTGTACATTTTGTCACATTTACTATATCAAGTATCATAAGTATAATCTAAATCTGCAAGCGCTTGCTAGTAAATTTTACTATTTTTAATACCTTTATTTTAAATGATAATAGTGATGAAATCTAACAAATATAGGTACAAGGTACAAGGGTCGGGAGAGGCGCCTACAGTTGTCCTTAAAAAATGCAGATACTAGAAACCTATGTTGTTTCTATTTCTATACAAAACCTCACAAATCCATTTAAAAAAGTAGAGTAAAATTTGTAAAAAGATTCTTATCTATATTATTGTTTGTGACAATTAGACGAGATTTGTTCTTAATTTGTGAGTAAATTCGTTTATTATTATGTCGTAAACGTTATATATATATATACACATGTAAGTATAATGTACTATGTTATGTACTTAAAACATTTACGACGTGTCTTCTTCCTCTACTTGTTGAAAACTTATTTGAGATCCTTTCCAAATGAAACATTGCACGAACCTGAAACAAATTAGAATGTGTAAATACTTAGTAACGATCACGTCATTCCTAGGGTTTATTATGACCATATTTGTTCAATTGAGTTCTGAACCTGGCGGTGGACAAATTTTATGCTTATATTTTCTGAGATTTTGTTGTAAAAGCATATACATCGCCCCAAGAATGAACTACAGACCCAGTGGAGTCGAGTAACTAGCACTAGCAGCTTTAGTCAGGAGCGTACTAATCGAAAATGGCGCCTAGGGCACTCATGAAAGTTGCGGCACTTCGTAAAATAATTAATCAATACAAAAACCAGATAAACTAAATATATTATTAAACAGTCATAAATCTTTCAAAACCTTTGTCATATAAAAATTCTTAAAATAGCAATAAAAAATATTGCGGGCAACTTATCTGTATAAAAACTATCCTATGTCTCAAGTTGGAGCAAGCAATACACATTTACAAAATTTCATTAAAATCAGTTCATACTTTAGGAGTTCATCGCGGACAAACACGTAATTTTTATAATAAAGATTTTATAGCGCAAGTAAATCATTAAAACCATTACACTTAAAATTTAACATTCCTGGCCTTCTGCGACACAAACATATCGATAATGTTATAATGATTTCTTGTATTTACACGAATACAACACAATGAATAAACGTCGAGAATATGAAAGAAAAATTAAACGCGATAAAATCAATAAAAATAGTTTTATTCAATATCGATGATGTTTTCCAAATCGGTTTTTGCCACTTCTTCTTGCTCTACACTGAGCAAAACTAGGTCGCGGAACCTATCATGACCCATTGTAGTCCTCAAATGTGAAAGTATTCATTTAAGTTTAATGATAGATCGCTCATAATTTGCTTGTGCCAGACCATAGGACAAGGTAACGCCATAAACAGATCTCCCACTGATCCCCGCATGATCGGTTAAGAGTGGTTATCGCCAAGGATCACGATCTCTGCGGAGGGGATCTGTTGAAGTCTGTACCCATTTAGACGTGGTCGATGAGTCAGTCTGTGTCGTCATTACCGCTGTGGGGCCTATAGAGGCAGAAAGACGCAAGGTCATCGCTATTTACGCACAGCCAAGGTATGGACAGGTCCGTATATTCAAGATTGTCGAGTCGTCGAGAACAGATATCCTCTCTGACACAAAGCCAAGTTGGCGCAAGCTTGGCGTTAAACGCCACTCGGAAACGAAACTTAATCTCATTCCAAGTGCACCGCCAGTACGTACTACTCATTGCCTCTCGCGCTCAAGCGCAGGATTTGCAAACGACATTGTTTGATATGAATTGGTTTATTGTGGTTTATTTTGACTTTTAAATTTAAAAATTGACAATTTTGCACGCCTCGTTTAAATGGCGCCCGGGGCACGTGCTCTATTTGCCTCACTCTAGACACGCGTCTGGCTTTAGTACGTTCCTATTATTACACACATACAGAATGCTTATCACTTTTTTAAAACTACTTACTTATTTCATTACATTTTCGTAAATGTATTGAGAGGCCAATGTTATATACATGCTAGCTGGCCAGGCAGACTTTGTTCTGCCCACTGACCTCTATATATACATAGTAGTCAGTGGTTCTGCCCTTTTCGACGACCCTTCATATAAAAAATCCTTAAATTCGTAATAAAAAAAATATTGAGTGTCACTTATCAGGATAAAAACTATCCTATCTCTCAAGTTGAACGAAACTGCACAGTGTGCAAAATTTCATTGAAATCAGTTCAGTAGTTTGAGAGTTCATCGCGGACAAACAACGTGACACGTAATTTTTATATATAAAGATTATGTCCTAAGAGACTGACTCATCTATCAACGCACGGTCCAAACATCTAAACGTAGAAATCTGAAATTCAGACAGTACCTGTCTTTTATAACATTGGCATCCACTAAAAAAGGATTTTGGACAATTCAGCAAACAAGATTTTTGGATTTAAATATTTACCAGAGGATGTTCACATTTGTATGGAGAAAAATTAATAAAAATGTTTTTTTCTTTTTATAATTTGAAAATTGATGCATACTTTGGAATTAATCTAAAATTTACATTTTTAGATTCTTCAAAAATCTACCCTTAAGGTCATAAAACAAGAATGCCAATGTTGTATGAAAAATATTGTATAAGCCCAGCCCAAAAAGTTAGACGTATAAATTTGAAATGTAGCTGCCTTTTATGACGTACGTATCCACTAAAAAAGAATTTTGAGGAAATCAACTCTTCAGAAGGGAAAATAGCATGTCACAGTTTTACGAGTCTTTATTTTACGGGGCGATTGACTCGAGACTTACTAAAAGTATACTGTAAATAAACCAAAACCCTATTTTGAGATTTTTCAAAACTACTTTAAAAACTTAACAGTGGTAGAGCCACGCGGCAGCTTTTGCTGTCGCACGGATGGGCCGACTCGAACCGGGGTGGTACCACGACCTCACAGAATACCAGCGTGAAGTAGAATTTTAACTCTGCGTTTCGCTTCGTGAGTGTAGGTGGCCGGAGGCCCTTTTTACTGGAAATGAGGCATTCCATCTTAGTCCTCACGGGTGACAACGCATCTGCATTTTGATTTGTAATAGAGGATAGATGTAGATGTCTATGGGCCGCAGTAACCACTTACCATCAGGTGGACTGTGTGCTCGTTTGTCACCCTTATCCTATAAAAAAAAGCTACCCATTACATATACGCGACACAGCAAAGTTGTAAATGTTGTAATTATAGGCAATAAAGAGTTTAAATATAGAGAAAAGTCAACTTTCAATTTGAAAATTGATACATACCAGGTTTTAAATCGAGGGTGCAAGTTGTATATTTTGAAAAATATTGATATGTAGCATATGAACTATGCGTCATATCAATATTTTTCAATGCTTCTGAAGCATGAAATAGGAACAATATAGCTTCCTTTTATTTGGCAGCCATTAACTAAGATAAGATTTTGACAAATTCCAACACTGAGATGGTGAAATAATGTGTTACAGTTTGTACACTTTTTATTTCACAGGGCGATTTCATATTCTTATGGTAAAAAAATATTAAATTATTTTTGTAACTTGAAAATGCGTACAAATACATTTGGATTAAAATAATGAAATACGCATTCTTTAACTCTTCGAAGATTTAAACATAAAGTGTTAATATAAAGGTATAATGTTTGCGTGGGATTTCGAAATATTTTCTTTATTTACTAGACATACGAGCTCAGGCAATCAGCAATGTATTATGCACCACGTGTTAATAATTCACACCTGGTGCATAATACACTCTTACATCGTCACTCGTTCATTAATTTATTAATTATCGAGTGACGATCAAAAATGTTTGAGTCACGCTGCAGCATCAATGAGGTGATTCGACTGGGTCTGGTGTAATAACCCTCAGAAGTAACAATGCACATTTTGATCCTTAAAAGTTGATAGATGAAGGTGTTTATGGGCCACGGCATCTCCTTGCCATCGGGTAGACTGAATGCTCATTTGTTACCTCTACTTGTAATAAAAATAGCTAAAAACTTAAATTTTGAATAAAAATAAACTAAAACGAATAATTTATTCAAAAAGAACGAGATTCGAGGAACGAAAAGGACTAAAATAATTTCCTTGTAATAGAGTGTAGAGAAAGAATACAGAAGTATAAAAACCTTCTTTTTTTATACATGGTAGAGCCATGCTGCAGCTATGTTAGTAGTATAGTTGTAGCACGAATGGGTCGGCTCGACCGGGGAAGGACCACGCGCTCACAGAATACCAGCGTATAATAGTAGCTTAACACTGCTGTGTTTCCTATCATGAATGTAGAAAATCGGAGACCCTTTTTACTGGAAAAGAGATATCCCATCTTAGTCCTCACAGGTGACAACGCATCTGGATTCTTTATTGGGGATAGATGTCTATGTGTCACAGCAATCACTTACCATCAGGTGTTCTGTATGCTCGTTTGTAACCCTATCCTATAAAAAAAAACTCCAGAAGCTATTATGTATAATTTTTTAATTTGTTGAAGTCCGCTTTACCCGCGGCCTCGCGCGTTTAATTAAAAGCAAACGAATTCTTCATCACTAAAATTATTTTAACTTGCATAAAGCTTTACGGCAATACGACATACTATAGCCACAACATTAAGTGCTACGCGTACGCTATTGAAAGCGTACTGTTTTTGGGTCCTAGAAACACGTAAGCAAGCTACGTAAAGCTAACCACGGAAAAAACACGCCTAATACTAATAGTCTAGCTGTCATCAAACTGCTCCTTTTAATAGGAATAGTAATCGTTAAAATTTAACGGTAGGTTATGTTTGTTTCACGTTGTGTAATAGGACCGGGGAAGGACCACGCTCTCACAGAATACCAGCGTAAAATGGCAGCTTGACACGGTGAGTGTAGAGAACCGGAGACCAATTTTACTTGAAAATAGGCATTCCATCTTAGTCCTCACGGGTGACGACGCATCTGCATTTTGATTCTTTATTGAGGATAGATCTCTATGGGTTACAGCAATCACTTACTATCAGGTGCACTGTGTGCGCGTTTGTCAGCCTATCCTATAAAAAAAAGGAATGCGTTGGTTCTCCTGATAAAATTGTGACTTTTTATGCAATGAATCTAACTTGTGAGTCATCGAGCTATACGCTATACATATTTAGCTTTTATAAGTTAAATAAATTATGTGCATTTACAAAAGGAGAACGACGGCTATAATGCGGTCAAGTAAAACAAGTAAAAAGGTGTGCCTTCCATCTTACAAAAAGGAATAAAGAAAAAACTGGATAAACTTGTTGTCCTTATAATTTTTCTGTTTTGTTGATTCCTAATGTAACTAAAGAATATTAAAAGTGGAGGACAGAATATAATAATCGATTACATACTAAGTTCGTTATTAAAATTACAATAATTATTACAATTATCTCTCGCTATGGGAGACGTTGTCTTTAAGTTAAAAATAAATATATTGCTAACCGATTATCGATCACAGAACAGGTCACGAAAGTGTGTTCATGAATGTTGACAAAATAAGATATAATAAGATAGTACAGAAAGGAACTTGATCACTTTTAATATAAAATTGACTTCAAGCACTTTATTTACATTTCTTTACAATGTATATAAATATTTGTAACTTTTCTTTTAATTTATGCAGAAAGTACTAGTTTCGGAAAATCCAAATCTGATGGCACTTAGCTTTTGATGACTCTTCCACAGAATATAAAATAGTACATTATACTAGTATAAATGATTTTTGTGAATTATCTATTTTATATAAATAAAGTTGAAGAGCGTCTGTTATATTGAAATAACTGACCTCTATTAATTTCAGGGCGTTATTTGCATGCTATGAAGGTTTGAAGACATAAACAACCATTCTTAAAATTTATGTCTGTGTATCTGTCGTCTCCGTATGTCGTCGTATGTCCGAAGAGCTAATCTTCGGAATGGCTGAACCGATTGATAAAACTTCATGAACAGGTAGAGTGATCCCAAGAGTTATTTAGGCTTTATTTTGTCCGAAAAACATGCGGGTTTTTCGTGAAATCAAAAACGAATATAAATGGTTCTTGATGATTATCTCATAAACTTTAAAGAAATATAAAGTTTCAGACAAAAGTTATGTTTTGCAATTTTACAAAACAAAAAGTCCGTACACTTAGTCTACTTAAGTCACTTAAAGTTTTTAAGATCATAGTATTAAAAACTGTTGGTAAATCCAATTGTGCATGTCCTAAGCGCATTAAAAAAAATTACGTATAACATGATTATACGGAATTTTTTAAAGGAGTTTAAATACACACAAGTTTTCACTAATAACCTTATTATACTTCCAATTTACCGATAATTTTATGTTAAACATCTATTTTTAAAAAAAGTTTTGGAAAATCCAAAAGTGCACGACTCATAATGCTCATATGATCATCATGTCATCATTCAGGTTACTCTTTAAAGTCCAAGATGTATTTAAGTATAAATATATTATACATCCTACTTACTTTTAGTACGTACTACTATTATTTATTCTGTGCTTTTAAAATATGTAATAAAAATCTCTGATTATTGATAATAAGCAAGTATGTATGAAATTGGTTTTTCGAATATTTTGTATTTTAGCAGTGATCTTTTTCAGACGCTGAAAGCAACCGATACAGTATCTACTCACGACGGCGGTTGACACCGGAGTGAGTGAGGCAGTCTATTTAGTAAAATAAATTAATACAAGGCTGCTAACGCTCTGAAAATTTCGACATTTCGGAGCCGAAAAAATTAATTATAACTAAACAAAACAAAATTAAACAGCCATTTACATTCAATTGCTTCCCACATGATAGATGAAGAGTTTTAAAAATAGATTTAGTTGAACGATTGATATTTTCAAAAGTTATCGTATTTACGCCGCCATGTGGACTTGATAAATCCACACTATAAGCCACTAATACCCCTTTTTATTTAAAAAAAATAGCAATTAATTGATTTAAAAAATATTAATAACTTCAACAATCATTTATCTTTATGACAATGTGCTTTTTATATCATTTATTTGTATAATATGATTGCTAGATACGATTTCAAGCGACAAAACGTTGGAATCTTAATTTTTAGGCCCTAGCAGAACATACCTGCGCCCTTCGCGCTTAAGGCATGCAATAGAAATTTTGTACACTTACCCCAAAAAAAGAATACACAATCCTGTAATACCGCTACTGAGTACATAGATGGCGCCCGGGAAGCATTTAATAGTAGAAACATACAATGAACTGTACAGTGCTGGTGATATCAAGGAGGAAATGGCTTCAACGGCGCACATTAGAGCAAAACCTTTCGCAATGTCTTCCACAGGCAACATTTTCGTTAACATGGATCGGATCAATGGAGATGATAAACGTTTAAATAAAGATACTCCAGCACCTGAAACAACAGGTTTTTTTTTTAAAATCTGTCATTCCTAAACCCTATCTCTGTAATTTCTGTTTTTCCTAATTCTGTAATTCCTAATCCCTATCTGGGCATATTTTTTAAAAAGTGTACCTTAAGTTTTTTCGATGTCCATTATGTTTCGATTTTTTTTTACTTAAAACCATTGAAATAACCTGATGTTTTAACGTAATTTAGTTGAGCATATATTTGGAAGAAATTCGATATTTTTTTTTTCATGTTTATATGTTTATTTATAATTTTATATTGCAATAAAGATACCAATAAAGAAGTTTTTACTTAAAGTGGAATAACAGTTAGGTTATCAGTATGTGAATTGATCTAATAACATCATTCAACGGCTTAAGCCATATATTTTCGAAAAACCTATACAACAATTAAAACAACACATTTGTTTTAAATTGAAGTCTCAGAATTTTACCGGTTGGAATTTTCCCCTGATTAACGCGAGTTTAAATGGTTTGAAGAAAATATACTAAATTAGATAAAAGATTTTTCGTTTGCAACATTACAAAACATCTCATTGGCCACCCATCTTGGCAACGATTTGGCAATATTCGTGGACAAGTGCTATTTTGAGGACGAGTATGTGTGAACACAAAATACATTCCAGTGACTAACAGCGCTTTTTAAGGTAATTTAGCAATTTATCATATTTTTAGTACTTAACCGGTTCAGTGCGGATGACATTTTTGTGTGTAGCGTATGACAAGCAAGTCGTGTCTTTTTTTAAATCGTTATAAGTTATAACTCGCTCAAATTGCTTTTTTGAAAGATTTATCCAGAACAAAATATTCATTATTTTGCAATTAGTTTATGCCTACAGCTTCTTTCTGGATATTTTGAAAATTTGAAATTTTTAGGGGTTGACAACCTTTTCTTAACTTGTACATGGTACTTTTTTTACTTTGTGGGTTTTCAATCATGTTGTGGAAAAATAGTCTAATAAGTAACAAATAATAGCACTGCGATCACTAAAAATCGCAAAAGAAAAGTCACTTACTCGCAATTTCAAAGAAGACTCTCTCGATTACTTGACGATACCAGCAGATGTATTATTGGTAAAAGAGAATGTCGTACTGAAAAAAGAACTAAGAGACAAGAACACAGACGATATTTTACAGATACATTGTGGCCAATCTAAATAAAATATATGTAATAGTTTCAAATTTTTGTATTGTTTTGATTAAAGAAGCTTATTTAGTTTTCCTAGTTAATATATTGAACTAAGTAAAATAATTTAAATATGTTTGTAAAAAAATTAAAATTGGCAACAAAATCCTTCATTGTAATCAGAGACCTTCAACGTTCCAAAGATTAACTGTCCCACTAACAAAAATCCAAAAGTAAGGGTTTATTTTCGCTTTCATGTTCAGTTAATAATATTTTAATTTTTGTTATGAAGACAACAAGTTTGTTATTCCCTAAAATTATTTGACAAAACAGTAATAAATGGCTATTTAAATAGTTACAAAGAAAAACACGCAACTGATTAGTCAACAAGTTAGTCAAAGGATATAAACATACGATTATTTTAATTTTTAATTCCGTTGTGAGAAAAGTGTTACGAGGGGCACACTGAAATGATCGGGAATAGAATATTTCGGATTGAGTTACAATAAAACCTTTTTTAGAATTTGAATACTGGCCTCTTAGAATCTTAATAACATTCAAACAATTAAAAAAATGTTTAAAAACAAAAACTATGTTGGTTTAAAGTTGACACGTCGCTAAAAGAAATGGAGCTCACGCGTGAACATTTCCATGCCATAATTTATCACAATTTTCGTCGCGGCTTATCTCAAGATAAATGTCTCAGCGAACTTGTTTCGATTTATGATGTTGAAGCACCGAGTCAAACGACAATATACCGCTGGTATGCCGAGTTCCAACGCGGTCGTGTGTCGCTCAGCACTGTTTCTTCTGCAGGTCGACCAATAACAGCGGTCACCCCTGAAAACATCGCAGCTGTGCGAACTATTATATCAGATAACCGTCATGTGACATACGAGCAGATTCGGGGTGTTATCAGTATCGGAGTGACTGCAATTTAGTCGATATTACATAATGAGCTGTGTGTAAGAAAGCTAGTTTCTCGCTGGGTTCCCCACAATTTGTCCGAAGAGCAAAAAGCGGCTCGTGTAGATTGGTGCCGGAATACTCTGCAACGCTTCAACGGAGGGAAATAAAATGCCATTTATAATATCGTCTCAGATGACGAATCACGGATTTATTCATACGAACCTGAAAGAAAACATCAGTCAGCAGTTTGGATCTTCGAAGACGAGGTCAAACCAATGAAAGTGGTTCGCTCTCGCAGCGTGTTAAAGAAAGTGGTCGCTACGTTTGTATCGAAAAAGGGGCATGTTACTACAATTCCTTTACAGGAATGCAGAACGGTTACCGCTGAGTGGTATATCATGGTTTGTTTGCCAGAAATGATAGCCGAACTCCGGAAAAACAACCCGAAACGTCGCATCATCCTACATCACGATAATGCGAGCTCCCATACGGCCCGGAAGACAAATGAATTTTTGAAGCAGGAAAACGTTGAGCTGATGAGCCATCCTCCGTACAGTCCTGACCTGAGCACAAACGATTTCATTACATTCCCTAGAAATAAAGATTTATTACGCGGTCAACGGTTTGAAGACCCCGAAGCAGCTGTGGAAGCATACAAATCAGCCATTTTGTCAACATCAACTTCAGACTAGAATTACTGTTTTAATAATTGGTTTGCACGAATGGAAAAGTACATTAAGTTGAACGGGGAATACTTAGAAAAACAATAAAAATACAATTTAGCTATACTGTGCATGTGGTTTTTCTTATTCCCGACCATTTCAGTGTGCCCTTCGTATATGTGTATAGATGAAAAAAAATGTTTATTTTTTTCATCTATAAACATATACTATACTAGCTGGCCAGGCAGACGTTATTCTGCCCTTTTCGACGACCCTTCATATAAAAAATCCTTAAATTCGTCATAAAAAAATATTGAGTGTCACTTATCAGGATAAAAACTATCCTATCTCTCAAGTTGGACCAAACTACACACAGTGTGCAAAATTTAATCGAAATCAGTCCAGTTGTTTAAGAGTTCATCGCGGACAAACAATGTGACGCGTAATTTTTATATATAAAGATAAATAAAAATATGCTTTTCATTGAACCCGTTTTATTTAATTCACTGTGTTAGATATTAAATTGTTATTCAGTGGAACCCAAAATTCTATTACTGTTTTTCATTAACTTATTATAATTAATTTATAAAAGTTATTCAAATATATTATACACTAGCTGTGCCCGCGGCGTAGCTCGCGTATATAGATTTTACATAAAGAATTTGTCGTTTAGGTAAGAGAATATTAAACGATTTATATCATTACTGTATCAATAAGTGGTAACAAATAAATCATTATCATCAAAGTTCTAAGTAGTTTATGATAGAGCTTCGGTGTAAACGACGTTAGAAGTAGACTTAGACGGGGTGTACACAAAAAGGTTACGGGGGCTACTAACGCGGGAAAAAGCAACATAGAGTTGGCCATGTGCAAAACAGTCAGTACTGAGGTCCACTCTTACAACGCGTAAATTTTGACCTTGCACTTTATTTACGGTCATCGCATAAAACACGCTGACTGTAACTGGGAACTGAACGCGCTTAAAACTGAAAGGAAAGTTACTTCTTAATAGAGGGTTTTTGGCAGTGCTGCCAGATCAAAAAAACTCATTCAGCGCTAGGACAACACAAAAAGCGCTAGATGTCATGAAAACAGCGCTTTAAAAAAGCCCTAGATTTCGCGCTAAATTGACTACAAACAAAGTTTGTGTTTTTTATTATAATTTATAATTCAAGAAAATATAATCATAATAAGGAAAACAACATTAAATTTTTTTCTGGCAATATTTTTTGATGTATCAATACTTCGCAGGACATCGACTTATGGCAATTGCTGTCAACAGTAGTTAGTACTACTCTAAGTAACTTTTAACTTAGCTGTGCTCTAAACAACTGACTAAAACTGAATAAAGCAAAATAAATGCGTTGCCAAAACCATGAACGAAAACTTTAATGAAGGGGATTTCCCCGCTTATAGTCGTCGATAAAAAAAATCATCCTAAAGGGGAAGCCGGGAGATCCATAGCACAGGGTATCCTAGTTTGGACTCGTCTCCCATGCTCTTTGTTTTGTGGAAAAAATATGTTTGAAAAAGATAAACTGCAATGTACTATTTGTGGAAAAAAATAATAAAGGTCATTATTATTATTATTATCGGTAATGTGGACTAACAGCGCTGCTATAAAAGAGTTAATAACCCGCTAGTCGTTACAATTTTGAAATGTGTGCTAAATACACCAAAAAGCGCTGGATTAAGTGCTAGGTGCTAAAATTTCGAAATGCGCGCTATACATTCCAAAAAAGCGCTAAATCTAGTTCCCAAAGCGCTAAAATGGCAGTACTGATTTGCGTATATTATAAATACAATATCACGACATTTCGTTGCAATTTTGTTATTTTTGTTCGGGTTCCGTTGTATGGCTTCGATAGATACAAATTTCTTCAGTAAGTAAGCGAAAAATCTCAACACAGCAAATCAGAAAAGTTTGTAATTTGTACAACTCCATCTATTACGTCCTTTGTGTGAGAAAACATCCTTTTTTAAATCTCTTTTTATGTTTTAAGTATAAATATATTAATTATTATGGAACGTTTTTTTACACACAAATCTTTTTATTACTATTTCTGAGATTTTTATGGCGCCATTGAACAAATTCGAACCTACATTTTAAAATAGTAATCATTACTTTCGATAGAATTAACCAAATTTAATAAAACAAAGATTAAATGTAACTTGAAGATACGCTTTATGATTTTCTTAACGATTTCTTTGAAAAAAAAAGATGTTTACTTTAGACGTGATGCATTCATATAAAAACAGACAAACAGACAGACAGACAATTCTAAAAATTATAAAAATGTACTTATTTAATTATTTTTAGTTCCCCATAATGATTTTAGTCACCAAAATAAATATACAATGTACAGAAAGAGACACAACATGTTATCATCATTTTTATTATATGTATATATTTAATTGAAGAGAGATGGCGCTGCTAACATCAACTTGATGACTCAAACAAAGCCACCGTTGAGCAAATTCCCTACCCATACTTCAGAATATTTATCATAACTTTTGATGGAATGAACCGATTTTCATGAAATAAAGACTAAATGTAACCCGAAGATACACTTTATAATTTCCTTAACAATTCTTATGATATAAATTAGTACTTTAAACGTGATACGTTAACAAACAAACAGACAGACAGACAGACAGACAGAAAATTCTAAAAATGGTAGAAATGTATTTAATTATTTATTTTTAGTACCCCTCAATCACTTTTATTACAAAAATATAAAATGTACAGACATCTGCTATTTACAGTTTTATTATATGTATAGATTTTATTAAAAATCAATTTACTTATATATTTTATGAATTCAACGACACATATTGAAAAAATGCATAAAAAATTAGGACCTTCATTTTAACTTAGGTACACTTTTCAAAAAATCTGCCCATCTCCTAAACCCTTAGAGTATCCTAAACCCTTTCTTCTGTTTCTGTTTCTATCAAAATCCACTGCAGAATATAGGCCTCCCGCATAGTTTTATAGGGGGGATATTTGCCATATTGCCACACTTGGCAAACGGGTTGGCAGCCTTAGTTTTATTATTTTATTAGTTGTAACCAGAAAGACACTGTTATAGTAGCAAACATATCGGTTTGTAAAGTTTGTAGTTTAAAATAAATCGTAAACGCAAACAATAATATCTACAAGGCTATTATTACGATAAAACTTTCATTATTAACATAAATAGCGTTAATTGAAACTAACTACATAATTAACATTCTGTTAAAATAATGTATTATTTGACGTATTAACGTATCAACATCTTTTCGCATGTATTTCTATAATACTTAGTTTACTAAATAAAATCTAGTACCTACTACACCTTCAATAAATACTTATAAGTGTACACGAGTGCAGTGGAAAATGCTCGAGAAATAAAGAATACATGACCAAAGTGCTAAATCATCTCTGCGCATCGTATATGAATATAAAATAGGAATCAGTTTAGATTTAAACTTGTGATATTTTAAGTGAATTCCCTAAAGCTTTCGACATTTTAGCGGTTGGTGCTGAGTTTACTTAGATAAAATCATATAATCTGCATTTTTTGCATTTTTATTGCCTGTTGCACCATCTGAAGCGATTTTATAAAAGATAAATTACTCCTTAAACGATTCTTCACGACGATTAAAGCTTAAATAGTATATTATAACAGTATGGAAACTTACCCAAGTACATATACCACGTGGTAACTGCGAACGTCTTTATTACGTATTCAGTTGTAGACGACAAGAACGCTACAACAGAAAATGACAAGTCGCTAATACGAAATATCCTCTGCAGCAAAAGGACTCCAATAAAAGAGCCAAGAAAAGATATCGTCGTGTTCACTGCTGCATACATCGTGTACTGCCTAATGACCCAATTAAGCTTTGCCCTCGTGTAATCGTACTCCAAATTCATTAAGCCGTACATAATGAATACTGACAAACTATTCGCACAGGTCAAGAGCAGGATTTGAGCACGACCGTGATTTGGCCGCTTCTTGAAGCATTTATGAACCATCTCTTTTACAAGCGAAAAATCTAAAACAGATGACAGAGTGCCCTAAAACAAAAGAGTTTAATAAGTTATTACTTAAGTACATCGACGGATTCAACTCGGTTGGGCAGCGTTCGGGAAATTACGGCACATCTTCTCGTCAGGTATACCTCAAAACTTGAAAACAAGACTGTATAACCGGTTGCCAGTGATGACATACGGAACTAAGACGTAGTCCTTCACTGCTGGCCGGATGAGGAAGCTCAAGGTCGCTCAGCGAGCTATGGAGAGAGCTATGCTCGGAGTTTCTCTGCGTGATAAACTCAGAAATGAGGATATCCGCAGTAGAACCAGAGTGACCGACATAGCCCAACGGATTAGTAAGCTGAAGTGACAATGGGCCGGCCATATAGCTCGAAGAACCAACAACCGATGGGGAAGAAAGGTTCTCGAGTGGCAGCCTCGTACTGGCAGGCGAAGTGTTGGGCGTCCCCCCACTAGATGGAGTGACGACCTGGTAAGATATGCAGGAAGTCGATGAATGCAGGTGGTTCAGGACCGTGCTTTGTGGCATTCCTTGGGGGAGGCCTATGTTCAGCAGTGGACTTGTGTAGGGCTGTAATGATGATGATGATTACAAAATTAAGTAATAAATTTGTAATCATCATTTATGCCTTTCGCAATTTTTCCTTTATCTGTGCTATAATACGTTGCTTCGTACCAAACTTTAAGATTCTGAGTTCACGGGAAGTACCCTGTAGGTTTGATTCCCTTGCGAATGTCGAAAATTTGCGGCATAAACGGCTGTATCTTTTGATTGCGTTGGCTTAGAACTTTGATTTTTTGACAGCTCCAAGGGACTAAACTTGAGTATTTGATATGAATTTCAGCTTGATACCTCCACGCGTTCCTGAGAAAAAGGGTCTTGACAGACAGACAGACAGACGGACAACAAAGTGATCCTATAAGGGTTCCGTTTTTTCCTTTTGAGGTACGGAACCCTAAAAAGGCAAAATTATTACAACTCGATCCGTGGTAGCTCAGGGCCTAAGCTTTTGCTGTAAACACAGTACGCGAGCAGCCCGGGTTCGATGCTGCAGGCACCAATGAAATTGTTAATTACAATTTTAGGTGTTGATTTACCACGTGCTCGGCAGTGAAGGAATACATCGTGAATAAACCTGCATGCCTGAGGAATAAAAATATTTCGAGGATATATTGATTCCACCAACATGCACTGGAGCATCGCATCGAACTAACCTGTATCTCTCTCAGAAATAAGAGAAGCATGTGGGACGTGCATAGAATGTGACCTTAGTTTTTTCCTTCTGCAACTCGATCATCTCGGCAAACTGAGTTCTCAGTTCAAACTCTTTGGAATAAGAAATATGAATATGATTAGGAAGTTCAGCTTTTATATATTATTAATTTTTTTTTAATAAAGGATTTACAACCGCGCTAACAGTCAGTGTTGGTATGTAGCTACTGCACATGTTTAAATAAAGAAGTTCACAAATCCTTATCACTCTTGTGGACTTATTAATGTAAAGTCTCGTACAGTTATTATACGGGTTCTTTTACCCACAATGCTGCACTGCTGTTTGGTGGCAGACATAGCTAAGAGAGCGGTACAACCCAAACTAACGTCAACGGAATAAAGGACACGCATCGCTAAGGAAACTGGAAGAACCGGGAACCCTTTTTACGATAACGAACATTTCTATCTTAGTCCCTTGGGGTGAAAATGCATCTACATTCGTATTCTCAACCGAGGATGAATGAGGTGTCTATGGGTCACAACATCCGCTTACCATCAGGCGGACTGCATGCTCGTTTATCATGCTTATTTTGTTAAAAATAATATTCATAAATAGTACCTGGACTGCGCCCGGTAGCGATTCCTCCAAGCACACGTTAGTAAAAACGTACGCAGCAACTTGAAGGGTTACTGTTATGAGTAACAGGTATACATGTCCAACTGCCCTCAAGACGTACGAGCTGGCCATGGAACCTATGACACTACCAACGGATACAGCAGCTTCTACAACAGTCATCCTGAAATCAGGATTAACAGGTCAAAAATACTATGTTATATGTAATTATTGACATTACCATTAGCAGTTATGAAGCATTAATTACACTCACATACGTGCCAAACAAATTCTTTACCTAAACGACCTCTTTTCAACTGTAGTGATGTCACTCACATAGCAAAAGGCACCGGTAAAAAGTGACGTAAAGCCTCCCGTGAAAGACGTGGGTATAACAGTCAAGACATACCACCACGGTCCAAAACCATCCAACATACTGTAGACAACAGTTAATGTTCCGCTTATTGACATACCTAAAATAATATTTTCATTACTAGTTGAAAAAAAAATTAACATTGATTAGTTACAGTATTACGCCATGGCCAGAACCACCCAGGAAACATGTAAAAAAATAAAAATGCTTGTATTGGGTGGTTCTGCTCTACCCATGTGTGTACTATAGTGTAAGAGTAGTGTGTATGCTTAATGTGTGTGTAGAGTGTGAAGAGGGTATGTGAACGAATATAATAATTTGTAGTTTATGTGTGGGTATGAGTTTTTACTTTTTGCGCGTCGATGTAAACTATTTCTATTACATTGTAACAAGGTAACAAGTTATTGCTACGAGGGCGGCACTGAGTTTTACAACTGGCCACTTGTATACGATATAATAAAAAAATAAGTTCTTTGCCAATATTATTGTGTATGTATTTTATTAATTCGTCATTTATTTACTTTTCATTGTCTCGCGCAAAAAAATAAAACCACTAAAATCCAATCGTAATAAATAAACGCGGAAGAAGTCGCGGGAAACAGCTAGTATCAGTACAGTTGAAGAGAAAACAAGAGCATGAACAAAAGCTTGAGATTCCCCAATCGTTGTGACACCTTTCGTCCATGACGTTTAGTTCATTGCACCTGGAAATTAAATCGTTTACTGCAGCTTATCAGTTACCTTCGAATCCCTTCATTATATTATTAGGTCTTAACCTAAAACATTTGTCATTTTATTGAACTGACCACTGAACTGAATAGGTATGGTTTGACTTAGAATTCTAAATTTAATTAAATTTTAATTTCTATTTAGAAAACATTTATTCATTTATTACTTTGGGTTATGTTTTTTCTACAATATCGCTATATTTTCCACAGTTCAAATAGGTCAGCTTAACAAAACGGCAATTTCATTTCATAGACCTAATAAATGGAAAAATGCTCAATTTAATTTCATGCATGTAAATGACATTAATGATTGAACACTAACATCAAAACTTATACATGGTAGAACTTTTACACATGGTAGAGCCATGCTGCAGCCATATTATGGTTGTAGCGCGAATCGATCGCCTCGACCGAGGAAGGATCACGCTTTCACAGAATACCAGCGTAAAATAGCAGCTTAATACTGCTGTGTTTCGTATGGTGAGGGTAGAGAACCGGAGACCTTTTTACTGGAAATGAGGCATTCCATCTTAGTCCTCAGGGGTAACAACGCCTCTATGTAGATGTCTATGGGCCCCAACAGTCACTTATCATCAGGTGGACTCTGTGCTAAATAGTCGGATTCGATAGTCGAATTTAAGTTGGGTGTTAGTGTTACCTAGTCAAGCATTATTATGACTAAATTAAATATCATATACATAGGACTTTCCAAGCATACGCCAACTGGCAGCCGTATTTTGCATGATTTGCCTATAGTCCCCACATTGGTCAGGTAATAGTGGACGCTGGGCAGTGATGCTGTTCCGTGTCTCCTACCTACCAAAATGCTTCGAAAAGATAAATGTCATCTTTTAGATTCCAGTCTTATTTATTAAATATTAAAAACGCGGGCGACGTCGCGGGGAACAGCTACTATTGAATAAAAATGATTATATTCCATTCTATTCTACTTCATTGGTCAAGTGGTCGTAAGCGTGAATACTGATCAGATGGTCCCGGATTGAATCCCGGGTGGGGTCCATATCAGTTATTGGGTTTTTCTGTCAAAAAATTCTCAATAGCAACCCGGGGTCAGGAAGCAGGCGGTGTTTTAACCTAAATCCTTTGGACCTGCGCTTGATCTTTCCAGTCGTGTATAGAGAGTGTATCTGTGCTTGTGCACACACATTACGTGCACTATAGACTGTCTTGCAAATGGCTAGTCTCCGCTGAGACTGGTCGCCGTGACCGAAATTCGATTAGAAGGACATTATTATTAGACACGTGGTACACATGCAATTAAAAAAAATGTCGTCACACTTCCGATATTTTGTTTACCGAGTATACATATAACTTATGTTTCTAATCGCGGTTGAACTCATCAATAATCACAATAATATGCCAACTTACGGGGGTGAAAAACCTATTTAGCTAGGTCTGATTTCTGGAATAATTCGTTCTCTTCGTGTTTTAATGCATGTGCATTTTTTTGCATGCATGTGCATTACTATGTAGTAACTTGCCTGCGCAATATGATTGGTAATTTCGCCTTAGAAATTATCTTTCCAATAGTATACCTACATTTTTATGGCGCTAAGCGCACTACAAGCTTAGGTCGAAAAATTATTTAATACAGTATTATCTTTGTTTCCTCTATATGTAATATGTATATGTAATCAAACCTATTTCATACTTTTTTGAATATATACACAGAAGTAACTTGTTTTTCGGGAATGGCTCTCGGTTATGTATCACGGTTATTTTTTTCTCACAGTTATGTGCAGTTATGTATGAAATTTTATACTTAGTGAATGTTTTACTTTCCAAGTGTTTCAAAATACATAGGTGTAATCCCTGAGGAAAATTTAATTTTTATAACGCCGAATAATGCTCGGTCTCCCAGGTAGGTTACATAAAACCGGTTAGCTAAGTGCGATTCCATTTCCAAACATGTTTTAGACCGAAAAGGATATACCTACGACTCGAAGTAAATAAAGCATAAATGTACATTTCAAAACTGCCGAAGTGTAATTAATCGGTGACATTTTGATTTAATAATAGTATATCATATCGATGATTGATTAAGCGAAATAATATGATTTGATGGCAGTATCTACTTCTACTTATAAGTATAAATAAAATGATAGAGGTTTGCAGTTGTGTGCGCATCACGGAAAAACTATTGGATAGATTTCAATTAGGTTTTCTAAGTTTTTTTTCGTAAGCACTTGGCCCTTATCTAAAAAAAAAAACTTATGTATTAAAGTCGCGTCCCCACCAAAGTTTTGTTGCTAACACAACAGTTGGTAACAAAACTTGAAACAATGTCGGGAACCGTGTTTCCATTTTCGGCGGCAACATCAAAGGAATACGCTTGTTGCAAACATTTGTTCCGTCGGTGGAGACGCTTGTTGGAAACAGTTGTAAACAGATGGAAACATAACTGTTGTCAACATTTTTGGTGGATACGCGGCTTTAAAGTTTGAAGAAAGAAGAAACAACGATTATTATACTGGGTTTTTCACACGGTCAACTGTTCGTCGCTTGCTCTCGCGTTACTAAACCAGATAATTTATATATTTTAGCCACAAACGGAGAGCACCTAATAACATTGTTTACAAAGATTTTTTTTTATGTCTTTTCGCACATACGAAAACTTTGTTAATATATCAAGCACCGCGGACGAAGTCGCAGGTATCAGCTAGAGAAAAATAAAAATGTGACGGGTTAATGAAAGGTTCAATGTATTTAACAGTTATTTATTTTACGTTTACAATTTAAATTCCATAGAATTATTACCCAGTAGAAACGCAGTCTAGTACTAAACACGAGCGTTAAAGTGATGCAAGGTCATTTTGTTAGTGAGCGCGAGTACACGCCATTCAGTGATACCAGTTTCTGGCGTTTTCAATCAAATTGTGCAAATCACTATTTTATTGATTAATTTGAAATAATCGATATAATAAAGATTACGTATTACATACGAAGATGTATTTTATGAGAATATAAAATGGAATAAAATAAACACGATAATGATGGTACTAATGTAACTTTATTATAAATTAAATGGTACGAAAATGCAGATGCAATAAAATTTAATAATGTTATTAAACACAATTAATTTGCTCGAATACAATATCACAACGTGTAATGTTTAATTTTAACCGACTTCAGAAAGGAGGAGGTTATAAATTCGTTGTATTTTTTAAATGTTTCTTACCTCAGAATTTTAGAATTTCTAAACCGATTTAGATTTATTTATTTGAAAGGATATACACACAGATTGATCTAATATACATGCTGAAATTTTAATGGTTGTTTTCCCGAAGTCACATGATTTTGTCTTGGTAGTACAATACATTTATTAAAATAAAAATTATTAGGATGCAAAAATGCCAGATTTACAATCAAGAAAAACAAAACTCGAATGCGATCTCAAACCAATAGCTGTTTTCATTATTCGTATTCGTTTTTAGTAGGCACCCATTGTTAATATTATGTTAATACTTAAAGAAATAGGTATCTATATATAATCATTTGAGTTTTACACAGAGCGTTGCGATTAAACGTTTTAAACACAAATACAAAATAAATATTTTTAAAAGAAAATTGTTTTTTTTTTCCCCACAACTAGCAACATTTGTGTCATGATAGCTTAGGTAAGTATTTTTTTAGTTTTACGTACTTATAATGAATTAAATATATGAAATTTACGTTGTGACAATATTTTACAACACAAACGGTCATTTATACAATTTTTCGCGAGCTCTTCTCCGTAAGAGGTGACGTTGCGCACTGACGCGTCGCTGAGTAAACTTACGCGGTTTCGCGTTAGTTTTACTTGCTTCACTTTCGGTGCGCGTACTAGTATTCTGTACGTAATAATTCTATGTTAAATTCATTTTATATGATATAAAATGAATTTAACATAAGTATCAACATTATAAATGTAATCAACATACCATATAAAACAAAATTACAAAAAAAAAAAACACCACACGAAGAACATATTTGCACTGTTGAGACTGTTCTGTCTACATAATTATAAAACTAACCGGCGCGTTGCTCCCTCAGAAAAAATAATTTTCGAAATATAATTTTAAAATTAGAAAAGCCTTATTGTTTAATTAGGAATGATACATTCATTGAAGTCGAGTGATGTATAACTTTCAACTAAATTTATTGTAAGTTAATTGTACTATGCCTATAACCTTCGCATAAGTACAAGTTAAAAAAATGTACAAGTTAAAAAAACGCCGGTGCTATACGGCGGCGGATTAATACTATTTATTAGCGAACTTTTTTTATGCATGAACGGTTTCGAACTGTTTCAAGCAAAAATAAACCTTATACCATATCACAAGAGCACATGGTACTTCGTAGGTCTATTCGGCCATATGATAGTAATAAGACGAAAGTTCAACCATTTTAAGCAAAATTAAACAATAAGACGCATTGTTTTTTTATAACAGGAGACTTGTTTTACAGAAATTTATTTACAACTTGAATTTGTGAGCGATCGCAATGAGTGCTATTATTTGTTACTAATTAGACTATTTTTCCACAACATGATTTAAAATTCACATTAAAAAGAGTACCATGTACAAGTTAAAAAAAGGTTGTCAACCTCTAAAAATTTCCAAATATCCAGAAACGAAGCTGTAGCCATGAACTACTTGCAAAATTATGAATATTTTGTTTTGGATAAATCTTCCAAAAACGCAATTTGAACGATTTAAAAAAAAAGACACGACTCGCGTGTCATACGCCAGACACACATAAAAACAAACGATGGCACGCCTGGCGTGCCATCCGCACTGAACCGGTTAAGTTGTACTATTCGTTATGAAGATTATGAGAAAGATACTAATTTTGATGTGTAGATACATTTTTTTATAAATTCTATTTGTTACCTATTGTTACTACTGCTAGTATACTGTTAGTATTTCATATAATATAATAATTTAAGTATTTCATGAAAAATAATTAATATAAAAAATACATATCAAAGTATTCTCTTCCAAATTAAAACCAATTTTGCGTCAATAAGCAAGATTACAAAAAAAATGTTTGGATACACATACAATTTTTGATGTTATATATATATATTATGTAGTAGTTTATGTATTGTTAAGTACTATGTTACTTGATATTATATCTAATATCTAGGTACTCCACATGTGAACTGGGTAAATGATTACTCTTAATAACTGAATACTAACAAGATTTTACTTACCTAAAAGAGGCCAAACTACCAAAGGCTTTCTTCCATGAGTATCAGACCATACACCAAGAAACAATGAAAGACAAGCTGGGGCTAGTGATTCAATAATCAGTCGTACCATAGATACAAATGCTTCATATTTTTGCACTTCTTCCTCTAAATGATTCGTATTGTTGGCCTTCGTTGGTGAGAGAAATCCTTGACATTCCTCTTTACTATGTTTTAAAGAATGTACACATGTACGGTATAATATCATATTTCGAATTACAGCTCCTTTAAAGTTTAAAGCAATATGTATAAATATACATAATATTATTAGGCTCAACTGTACAAAATCTACTATCGATTTGAAAGTTAAAAGTTATATGAGGGATAAATCTTATTTTTGTTGGACAACCCCTAAATTATTATAGTGCAGAAACCTGTATATTAAATATTAATTGAGAATTTTTTTTTACTATGTATTTATTTAAAATCTAAAAGAAAACATATAATATATATGTTTTCTTTTAGATTTTAAAAACAAACTTGTGATATTATGATCTGAAAACAATATTTAAATGTTTTATCTGGGGGCACGGCAGTGCCCCCGCCAAGTCGAGCAAAAAAGCGGCACGGCCGTACCATCCTTTTCTCGAAGCAATATTACTAATATACTCTTTGTTCAGGCCATTTTCGACTTCGTTGTGGATAAAACTAGAAGCCTGAATTTTCAGTAACCAAGTAGACATTGTATAATCTCGATATGTTTCAAATTTTATTACATTTGAACTAGTTGTTTAAGAATTATAACTAGTCAGTTTCTTAATTTTGTCACTCACTGACTGACCGATCATCAAAACTCTTAAGGCACTTCTACCAGACATAGAAGCTTCAAATTTGGAATACAACTATTGTTTAGTATGTAAATCAAGGAAAAATTCAAATATTTTGCAATTCCGGTCCAGTTTTCGAGATACACCAACTGCATAAATAACTTCGTAATCACATATGAATATATAGAATTAAAAAGTTACATTTGCAGTGAATGAATCAGTGTACCTATATATGTAACTAGCTGTGCCCCGCGACTTCACCCGCGTGGAATTTACTACGATTTTATGGATATCAATTTTGTTTTTGAGTAATGTTACCATCTTATAAATATTGACAAATATTGACATTTATACAATACTAACGTGACTCAATTGTTTTGCCTTCCCGGAACCCCCCCGGCGAACTTCGTACCGCCTAACAGTCGATTCTTTAATTTTTTTTTAATACTTATTCTGCTATTCGGGACACCGGGTCAGCTAGTTAGATAAAAAAAGAATAAAGAAAGTTGACGAGTCAACAATTACATTACGTCATAAAATAAAAATTATAATTGTTTTGCCTTCCCAGAACCTCTCCACTAACACTTAAACTTTATGGTATGGTATTAAAGTTCAAATTGACTTTTAAGTATTCATCATCATCATCATCATTACAGCCTTTCATAAGTCCACTGCTGAACATAGGCCTCCCCCAAGGAATGCCACAAAGCACGGTCCTGAGCCACCTGCATCCATCGACTTCCTGCATGTCTTACCAGGTCGTCACTCCATCTCGTGGGGGGTCGCCCTACACTTCGCCTACCGGTACGAGACTGCCACTCAAGAACCGTCGGTTCTTCGAGCTATATGGCCGGCCCATTGCCACTTCAGCTTACTAATCCGTTGGGCTATGTCGGTTACTCTGGTTCTACTGCGGATATCCTCATTCCTAAGTTTATCACGCAGAGAAACTCCGAGCATAGCCCTCTCCATAGCTCGCTGAGCGACCTTGAGCTTCCTCATACGGCCAGCAGTGAAGGACCACGTCTCAGTTTCGTAAGTCATCACTGGCAACACGCACTGGTTGTACAATTTCGTTTTAGGGTTTTGAGGTATGTCTGACGAGAAGATGTGTCGTAGCTTCCCGAACGCTGCCCAGCCGAGTTGAATCCGTCAATTGACGTCGATTGATATTTTAAGTATTATTACGAATCTTTTGTATGGGAATATAGAAGTGTTGTTTTTATACTTTTTCAGGAAATTTTTTCAATTTTTCTCTCCGTAAGAACCATCTTCGTACTTCCAGGACTATTATAAAAATAGAATTAGCCAAATCGGTTCAGCTGCTCTTGAGATTTGCGCTTAGCAACACATTCAGCAATTCATTTTTATATTATAGATATAGTGGAATAGGTGTAGATAGATACCTAGATATAACTATCTACAAAAAGAAATGAGATGCCATCAAAAACAACTATATAATCTAATATAATAAGTATTACTTGAGAGATACATTGTTTTCATGCGATGGCCAAGTCAATCTATTTATTTAAAATATAAAAGATTTTTAGTATTGGTGTGGTCACTGTAAGATGTTGATAGGTTAGCTAATTATGTAATAACTTAAGACAGAAGGACCTTTAAGTAGGGACTGAATAAATTAACCGACTTGGTATTACATGGATCTCACAACTTTTTACGGTAGAAAAACTGAGTTGCGAGACTTGTTTTTTTTACAAGTTATGTTTTTGATGGCATATATTTATGTTACAATATTTCCACTTATAGTATTGTTTTTCTGTTAACAAATAATCAATGAAATATAACACAAAAATGATGTGATGATATTTTGTCTGATTGATGCAACAAGTATTTGAAATCAATTACAGCTTCAAGGCCAGTCCAACATTGATATTCCATATTATGTAGACTTTTGAAATCAAATAAAAGATCAATTTCAAAAGAGATTCTTAAAATATGTTGTAAAGAAATCTATGACAAAAAATTTATAAAGCTTATGTAGTTTTTTTAGGTCACTATAATATTAATGTGCATTTATTTAAGTACATTACAGTTTATTTTAAGCATAGATTTATTATGAACTGATTATAATATGTAGATATTTCATTTTTCAACTTTTTTAATATATTATTGTAAACTTTATATTAATGGTTCAGTGACAGGACAAAAAAACATATTTTGGCTATTAGGGTTTAGCCGGCTGCAGGTATGTGCCTCAAGGTGCAGCCAATTGTGATTGGTTAAGCATAGGTGTATTATATTTTAATCATAATCATTTATGTTCATGTTAAAATGTTTTTGGTTATTATTATTATAGTTTAAAGTAGCTGTAACTAGTAGCTTACAGCTGAAACTAGAAGAGGAAAGTGTGAATTATAATTTAAATAACTGGTAACTTTGTCTGAAATATGAAAGCATCTCTTAACTAATATCAACAACAGTAGATTGAGGTGCTGCTTGGGTGGCCACCCCAAAGCTACAAACATCCGATCCAATCACGGTAGGGTTGCCTTTCATGATCTACAGCGTCTTGTCTTCTTTCTCACAGCACAATACTAAGAAATGATTACAAGTATATAAAAAATAAAAATAAATGTTTTATTTTTTTATCAAAAACTACAGGGTTCCACACGTATACACCAACAGACCTTCCCTATTTCCCGCACACCCATCCTTAAAATCGATTGTAGGTTTTGAACATTTATTATGATATTATGAATCTGTGATTCTAAGAAATACCTGACAGAGAAACTGCTATCAAGGTGAAAAACAAGGGGAGCTCCATTGTAATTCTGAATTTCTTTCGGTGTGTTTCAATATCCATGTTAATATTCGGATTAGTGTCAGTAAGAACTTCTTCGTTTTGAGTCATTTTGTAATTACAAATAAGTTTAATTTTTTTATAATGCTATTTTTATATGCTTAAGTGCTGCATTAAAAAGAAATTTGTCATCAAATTGAGTTATCCAGCTCGAATTGTATTAAAATCACACGCAGACCATAAAAGTTTTCTCACTTATGCTTAAATAATACTAAAATTAACCACCACTTGCAATATTTATATGCACTGATTTAATATGTACAAATATGAGAACAGAACATATTCTCTCTACGCGAGACTGTGACCGACTAAAACATTATGCAAAAAGTACTCTGTGGACTAAAATAAATAAATAATTGTTTCAAAAATACACAAATCATAATAATTGCTTTTGTTTAGGTCTTTGACTTTGAGTTGAATAAAACATAACATTTTGTTTTTGTTGACTCCAAAACTCCAAAATCCAAATTTCGATGATCATCGATGTCAAAAATGAAAACATCGATGTTGCCACACGTTAAATATTGAAACATCGATGTCAATATAGTCATAATCGATTATTGGGTACTGGCGAACACTGCGAACTCGCGAAATCATTATCAACTAAATCTTGCATCTCCTCTAAAATATTTAAAATTTTGAATAATTCAGAATGCTTGAATGCATCTTTAACTTAAAAATATATCATTATTGTGTATCAAGTTTGGTCGCAGTTGTCACTGATGTTCTGAAAAATCGATACTTTTACATATATTTTTTATAGGATAAGAGTGACAAACGAGCACACAGTCCATCTGATGGTAAGTGGTTGCTGTGGCCCATTGTAGCACATTTATCCTCGATTACGAATCAAAATGCAGATGTGTTGTCACCCGTGAGGATTAAGATGGAATGCCTCGTTTCCAGTAAAAAGGGTCTCCGGTTCTCTACACTCACCATACGAAACACAGCAGCGTTAAGCTGCTATTTTACGCTGGTATTCTGTGAGAGCGTGGTCCTTCCCCGGTCAAGCCAACCCATTCGTGTTACAACTGTACCAGAAATATAGCTGCAGCATGCCTCTACCACGTATAAAAATATGAAACGTATTATTAAATATAGAAAAGAGACAAACGTATTATTTAATGTTTAAACATATAAAAACAAAATCTGACCAGATATATTTGTAGCTTAATTTTGATATTTAATATATTAATAATGGAAATAGTATGGCTAAAAAGGCCGGAGTTCATCCTTTAATTTAGAAAAAGTCTATTTTAACCTCCATTTTTTCCCTTCTCCGTCATTGATACGTCAATGCTTCGCGCGGTCTCTCGCTATCTTATGGCTCCAGTACACGTTGGCCGAGCGCGCTTGGCGAGCGCACTCGGCAGATTTTCGTGGTGCCGTTCACACGTTGGCGTGTTTCATTCTGCGTTGGTAGCTAGATGATGATGGACGTTAGGGCAATCGCGGCCGCTGTCATATACTTATACAGCGCTTCACTCTTCTCAGAGTGAACGAAAAAAAAACTACACATACAACAATAATCCCAGTTTGTCCTTTTTAGCGTTCCGACCTCAAAAGGAAAAAAGAAACCTTTATAGGATCTACTAGCTGACCCGTGCCCGCTTCGCTGGGGGTTTTTTCAAAATAAATGATTGCCCAAAAGAAGCCCCTAAGCTACATTATCCCTGAGCAACATAAACGCAGAGATAATTTATAATAATATTTATCATTAGGTAGGTACTCTGAAATCGCAACTAAACATGTATTATATAATGCAGTTAGGCAAGTTACTCTGGTTTTATTTTTATGTTGCTCATGTTTGGGGTTCCATATAACTGATTCATTGTGAGGATCAATCAATAAACAATGAATCAATATTTCACTCCATAATTATTAAATCGTAATGTGTTGTTATGCATGTAAGTAACATTAAAAATATATTATATTGAATTATATATTTTTTCATAATATATGATATTTATTTATATATATACATGCGTATATATATATATATATATATATATATATATATATATATATATATATATATATATATACTGTGTGTGTGTGTGTGTGTGTGTATGTATATGTATATTTATGTAAGTGCACATTTTGACTACCTCTATTTCCTTCAACTATCCTTCAATAGGCCTGCTGGAAAAAATTTCATCATGGAAGAGGCAGTGCCTTTGTACATAATTATGTTTTTACCATTTTCCTATCGAATTATGTGTGTACATAAACTGTTAAATAAATAAATAAATATTTCCTCATTAGTCCATGTCGCCATGTTGAAACAATTTTATTAAGCCGACACTACAGTCTACTCCGACGCGTAACTATGAACTGAACACTCGGCCAACGTGTGAACACTGTTTGCGGCTTGCGCCAAATTCCTTTGATTTGTGCACGGAAAACCGACACTATACGGCTCGTCGGCGAGCGTTGGCCGCAAACGCCAAATATATACAAAACGGCCCAGTACACGTTGGCCGAGTGCACTCGGCGAGCGCGCTCGGCCAACGTGTACTGGAGCCATTAGAAGTTTTTGTGTTATGGATTATTTTTATATTTTCTGACTCGGCTATCACTCTTGAACTGTTTCTGCTATATTCGTTAACCTTGGCTTGCTAATTCCGGACTTTGATTACGCATTACGTGATTTTGTGTTATCGTGTGAACTAGACAACATGTATAAAATAGGACGTACTCTTAACAGCCAGTCTCGTAACTTGGTTTTGAAGTTGCACGAGTACTTTGAACAAGAATCAACAAATAGAGGGCCTCTTTTAGAAGTTACCCAAGTACTAGAACGAGTCGCATAAGTGCTTGGAATTGGCATAAAAACAGTCCGAAATATTATAAAGGACATGTACGGGCCTTCTGGCTGAAGATAATGTACTGCAGCCAAAAAGCGAAAGAAACAAAAACCTGTGAAAGGTATCGATTCGATGCTGATGCTATTAGATCCCCACAGTATTGGACTGATGATACACAAGCATCCAGCTCAAAAGTTTCAATGGGAAAGGGTGGACACACCTCACTATTTGTCATGCTGGATCTGCCGGGGAAGTTTTTATAATTTTTTTTGTTGACATTTGAATCAAAAAGTACAAAAGAGTACCACGGAGGAATGAATGCCGAAAAATTTAAAGTGGTTTACGACCCTTATGCAAAATCTTCCAGGAGAGTATACGATAATAATGGACAATGCACATTATTGGATATCACTCTATCCAACTAGATAAATCTCCCACACAAGCTAACAAAAAGGCGGATCTATTGGCATGGCTACAAAATCATGGTGTGGATGCTGACATGAATTTATTGAAAGCAGAACTGTTAAAATTAGTCAAACAAAATAAAACTGTGATGCCAAAATACGTCATTGATAAGTTGGCACAGGAACATAGGCATAAAATTATAAGGATCCCTCCGTACCTCCGTACGGCTCTAGTTAAAGGTTAGTATTTAAGTATTTTAATCTAAAAGGAACGATTGCAAACGTATTTATAGAAAAATAATTTAGTAACAATATAATATTTGTAGATATTTTTCGTCTTATATAGCGGCTGACTGCTGTCGTATTTTCATAGTTAATTGAATGGCATATTTATTAGAACCTATCTAGTCGTTTGACTGCACAAGGGAATAAAGAATGTAGTCATTATAACTTTACCTCTTTTACAGGCTATACTGCACGTCAAAATACAAAACCTCCATTCAGCACAAAAAAAATGCTTGGTCTTCTTAAAGAAGCATGTGCACATGTCACAAAAGATGATTGGATTAATGTAGTAGAAAGAACAAAGAAAATTATAACGGAAGACTTTAGAAGATACGTACATTTTGACAATTTGATTGAAAATGAATTTATTATAAGGTTAACGGATTAAGACAATTCAACTGATCATAATTTTTCTGGATCATCAAGTGACAAAATAGAATAAAAATGTTACGATTTCAGTGAATCTATTTAGATACCTAACCCAACCACACTTATGTATTTATTGTTAATTTTATTCTTGACTAGCGACCCGCCTCGGCTTCGTACGGGTGCATATCAGTGGCGTACCTACATAATATACAATGTATTTTTATACTTTTAGTTTATGTCTTGGCTTTGAAACTGGCCCAAATTTAAACTTAGTTTTGATTTATGTTATAACTGTTAAATATTACAAACTCGTACATGTATTAAAACGATATGCCTTGAGAATCAATTTTACACGATGTAGATCTCGAGAATCGGTTTTTAAAGCAACCAATTTTTTTCCCCATCATTACACAAAGTATTTTTATAGCTGTCAAATCGGGCTTCTTAGATAGTAACGAGTATAAATACTGTGCAAAAAACATCGATAATGGCCAACATCGATATTTTGAGTAGAATAAACATCGAACATTGATGTTGAGCTATCGATGTGAACATCAATGTTTCTACAACATCGATCACCCTACTCCACACACTACTAGAAATGAAGCGTACATACTAGAACAAATTCAGGCACTAGGTATTAAACGAGACTAGGTTGTACCTGTTCCAACTTTGAAAAACTTGATCCACCTAGTCTCACTGTACCTACGCGTCTCACGGCACCGGCGCGGCGGCCCGCTTGAAACTTGAATCGTACAAGTATCGGCGCGGCGAAGCGAGATAGCATTTTGTTGCCGTAATTACTAGTCTGCTTTGCCGCTCACTCGAGTTTGCCTAACTAAATAATTCATGTCAGTCCTTTGAATTTGAACTGTATTTCAATGACTATAAAAGTAACGCGACGCGCACTCGTGTTGTGTAAGAATATATTCTGTCCTTTTTTAACTATAGTCTATGCTATTCCGCAGTCTTTCTATCCTTGTCTGTCATTACTCGAGACTAGTCCCGGGGACTTCAATCAAATACTATGCAGATTTTATACACCAGGTACTTGTAAATACTCGATTCGAATGGAAATTGCAGACCATCTGATGCAATCGAGTGTCTAGTACGGACTCATGCAAACGTGATTTCGGCACCGTAATGACACTTGTCACCAGTAGGTTTTCTTTTTACTTTCGACTAT